CTATTTCTACTATTTCTACTATTTCTACTATTTCTACTATTTCTACTATTTCTACTATTTCTACTATTTCTACTATTTCTACTATTTCTACTATTTCTACTATTTCTACTATTTCTACTATTTCTACGATAGAGCGAGAAGTAAATAGCTAGTGACATGACTGACTTTTAATATAGGCGCGTTGATATCTCATGTCACCTTGGAAACAATGCCAACACACGAGACCCTGATCCGGTGACCGTGCCATGGGGTCCCAACAACCAGGATCTAAAGATCATCGATGGGCCTACAGCCCTTGGCTACATATTCAGCGTCGCAACGCCTCCTAACGGCGCTACCTACGACAACTACCTTGTGCCGTTGCAAGCAATTTACAGTCGCTGCCTCTATCTGGCGTATATTCGCAAGATCGGGGTCCCCAGGCCCGTCAATAATGCGACCAACGTCCCTGTCATGAGCTCTTGTATCTACTTCCGCGACGCAGGCAATCAATTGTGGTTCCTCCTAGGCAGCACATATACTCTCACATATGCTGCGAACGGATCCAATAAAGCAGATCACAATGCCAAGCGACGCCTGATGAATGGCTGGAGACGGGAGCAGATCCTTGACCCGGCTTTGCAGTCATACAACCCCAATCACTACCTCCCCTCAAAGCCTTATGTTCTGCCGCCCGTCCTGGAACTAGCTGTTGCCGAGGCTATCTGGCTGAGCCTCTTCAATGTTGACCTTGGAAACAACCCTGCTATTCTCTTTAACACGAATCTCTCAGATCCGAACCCCTGGGTCACTGTGTCCGAGGATGACGCAAATGCCCAGTTCCAGCTCGTTGTGGACGCCGTGAACGTTGCGTGGAGGGCTGTCCCTAATCCCAGAGATCTTGTGCCCTTCCCCTGCAAAGATCTCTGGGATCGGGCCCCGTTCAAGGACTCCCTGCAAGCAGCGCTGTTGAGCGTTGTGCGGCTTCGGTGGCAATTAGGCAATGACCGCGATGATGCTGCAATACAGGCTGCATACAGACCGGTGTTTGATATCATGTTTGTTCCAAGGATGTTTCGGCCTAAGGCGAATAATACACCTAATATAACACTTGGGGAAGTCAATCCTGGACCATTTCTACCGACCTACATGGCCCTGAAAGACGCACTCTTCTCCAAACTCTATGGAAACGTCAACACAAGCCCTGTTCTTCGCATGCTGGATTATTTGTATACCTGGGTTAACGCTGGAAATGATTATCTTGCATTTGCAGGCCCATCGGTTCCAAGGTATGGCCGTTGTGCAGAAACATACCCAATTGCAGGTATAATGTAGGTCCCCTTGCCTCTCCCCCCTCCTCCTCCCCCCTCTTGTCCTCCTCCTCTTAGCCTCATAGAGAAGATTTGAGTAACCAAACGCATGCACTATAGGCCGCATTATACACCAGCACGAGCTCTCCCAGGAGCTTTAAATCCATCCCAAGTGCGTGGATTCGCAATGGAGGTCAGAAGTTTTAACAATTACCGCGGCGGAACAACAGCCGCGAGTCTAGCGGCCAACTTCAGCAGCACCACGCTCAACAATTTCCACGACAATGTAGGAGTATATCGCAAACCATGCAATAATTGCAAGACCCTTCTACTCGAATTAGATGCACCTATTGGTACTACTAATTATGATCAAGATATGTTAGCATTCTATGGTGCTGCGATTTTTGGTTAGCCAGTGCTGCTACTGCTGCTACTGCTGGTACTGCTGATACTGTTGCTACTGCTGATACTACTACTACTACTACTGATACTATTGCTACTACTGATACTGTTGCTACTACTATTTTATATATATTCAGCGGTTGTGTATTCCGATATGTGAGCTGGCTGCCTTGTTGCGCTGCAGCTGGGTTGTCAATGAAATTGAGATACTTGATGACTTTTCACTACGGGAAGCTGTGGCTATAGTTGCGAATAGGAAATGTCAGATAGTGTGTGTACTCGGTCCATTGATTAAATGTATGCATTCATATTGTGTTCTTCTTATAGCTTTCTGCCCTTGAAAGATCTGCTGTTCGTTTTGAACCCTTGACCCGCACGCGACATCACAGCACATGATTTCTATTCAAGAATTATTACATGTACCTAGATAACAGAGTTCTGTCTGTCTCTCTACATGCTGATCCCGTCATATATCTACCACTTTCACATCTAATTGTTTGCCATTGAGGAGCATCGACCCAAAATTGACACAAGACTACGTGAGTTTCCTTTGCTCCTCTTCTGTGGGCTCCCTGAACCGTGCTGCCTCCAGTACGCCGCTGATGGTGTCCAGCTTTTCCCATATAGTATGTTGATGGGGTCCGACAATTTCAACTAGCGGATTAACCTTTCCTGGCTGTTAATATAACGGTCATATTGTACTGCGAAATCCGTTTTGAACGCGCGGGAGTTGTTAGCAATAGCCTTTATATGACTCTTTTTGAGCTTGCCATTGCCATTGTTGTATTTCTGCTCCGCGCGCGCCAATCCTAAGGAGGCAGTGACAATATTGCGGATTTGTCGACCATCGAATCCAATATCATACACGTCGTCTTTAAGCCATTCCTGGATCTCTTTGTAGTCATCGACTAGTCCCTTTTCATATAGAGGGTCAAGGAAACCTTTGAAGATATCCCGCATCTGCTTCGGCTTTAGGCTATTATATTGGATAGAAACGTGGATCCGAGATGGAATCGCAACATCAAACTGGGCAATTTGATTTGTTGTTAAAAACATAATTCCTTGGTAATACTCAAGCACTCGAAGAAACACTAGATAACATTAGCAGAAGATTGCGCTGTTTCAAAAGAACCGTGCTTACCAGAAACAAGGGCGTTTCTGTCCGTAGATCCATTTGCACCTCTTCCTCGACTTTCTAGAAAGACATCGGCCTCATCGCTTAATAACAACTGATATTAGATTTAAGAAGAATGAAAAGATAGGGGACAGTGCCTATTATCACCCACATTAATAGGATTGCTTGCCACGTTGTTGCCAAGGAGAATATTTTGGATAAATTAGACTCCACATGCCGCGCTCTAGTCCCGACGTCGGCCACACTGATAGAAAAGAGAGGCTTGCCAGTGGAGAGGGAGATAGTTTCTGCTGTTGATGTCTTTCCAACCCCAGGTGGACCTTCGAATGTCGTCTAGTCAGTATAATGTTATTATTATTGTAGTGGCTCATACCGTATAGGAGAATAACCAAACCCTTCCCCTTTCCTGGAATAATATCGTCAACTTCGAGAGCATCTTTCGGCTTCTTCGCTTGATTCGATTCTGAGATATGACTGCGTACAAGATTGAAGAGCAATCTTTTAGTAGCGCCCTCGTCGTCGAGCTGTAGTCGGGTGTGCCAAGCATCCTGTTCACCATCGAATGGAATGTCCTTGACAAGGGTGGTTTGGAGCTGCGCCCATTGCTTTTCCTTGAGAACATAACCAAGAACACGGGGAGGACAGATCAAATATTGTTCGTCATCCCAGGTTTCCTTTGCTTGGGCTTCCTGTTTATCGAACCAAGTTCTGTACTTGATGGCCAAGCCCTCATTTTGTTGACAATCGGAACACATACAATCCACATTGGCGGAACTTGGTTCCAGGTCTCCGTTACGAGCAACTGGAGGACCATACTGAAAGTATGATACGTAGTCAACCATGACTCTACTATTGACCTATAACAGCCGTTAGTATCATAAAGACTCCTAGAACGCTGCGACTTACATAGGAAGATTTCACGTCAGCGGATTCCAAGGCTGAGCGACCGGCCGAGCGACGATATCTCAGGCCAAGCTCAATATCATACAATACACTTCTCGATCGGGTATCAACATCATCCTAGCAATCGATCTGAGTTACAGCACAGATAATGTAATCTTGAGGGCAACTTACATCGTCGCTTAATCCAGAGAATCCCTTTTTCCCAAAGATGGTTTGACCGCTGTACTCGAACAGCTGCGATCCTTCCTTTGCGGTACATAGCGATCGAAATCTTTTACCACGCTCAATCAAGGCCTTTTTGATTGACTTATCTTCAGCAGCTTTAAGGCTGAACGGATAATATGGCAGAGCTTTGATAGGTTTGTGGCCGTCGTATGGCTCGAATAAGAGCGTGAAAGCCGTTCTCTGAAATTTCTCGCCATTCCAATCGTACGTCCAGCAATCTAGCTTCCAGGGCAAGTCTTGTGGTGGATGATCGTTATGCTCTGGCCAGGAGTATCTACTATCTTGAACAATAAACACTTGATCCTGGTCCTGGAAAGATTTACCATAAACCATAGTTCCAGGAGGAAATATAGTCCATAGGTCATCAAATTGAACGGTTGACTCCTCTAAGGATAGATCTCGTACTTTGAAATATTTATCCAGTTTAGCATCACCGGATGATCCACTAGAGATAATATTCAGAAGGGTTTTTAAATCCTCTCTGGCTTGCCGATCTTCGTCATCCTTTGGGCGCTGCGCTGCGGCCTCCTCTAGAATCTTCCACTCATGAATAATAGCTTCAAAAGGCGAAAAGAGGGTGACAGGTGATCCGCGGAAGAAGTGATAGGGATGACTGCCCAGATGTTCTTTCAAGAGCTCCCATAGTTTCAGATTGATTATATCAATCTCAGAGGTATCTTCCTCTTCAGAGAACTTATTATGCAGTGTCTTTTTTAAAATGAAGGCGATGTTGATTCTATCATCTGGTTTCACATTTTGAGATTTATCCGGGAGTTCAACGCGTTCACCTGTCTCCCGATCTTTGATGGCTTTGATGATTTGAACTCTAGAGTTCGGACTAGCTTCCTAAAAAACAAGTTAGACTACGAGAATATGTTGGTAGATGGAATCGATCATCAACTTACACTATTAATCTCAGCTTCTCTCTCGTCCTTTGGATTGTCGGTTGTTTTCTGTTATTTTTTTTTGGTCTCATTAGCACTATTGAATGGGTAGCTGGAGCGGAAGGAGTGTTCATGCCTCCAATTCCGTCGAGTCATGATCCTTTTCTTTAGACTCTTTTGCACTTTGTTTAGTTGAGTTGAGAAGGGACTGGTATTTCTTGTCCATTTCTTCTAATCGTTTCTCAAGAGCCATCAATTTCAACTCCAGATCCTTTGAACAATTATCCGTCGAGTTAGTAAGAAATATGGTTTGAGAAATAGCATATAACTAGTGAGAGCAACAGGATCACTCACGGATGCCGGAGCAGAATCCACGGAGAGAGCCATGGTAGAGACACAATTGCTTTATCTCCACTGAATTATTCGGGGATTGGCTCGCTTAATGCAAATGAAACGTGGCTGAGCACGGTTCCATCAGCTGGAAGACCTTTGATTGCGCTGGAACTAAGAACAAAGATTTACGACTTAGAGTCAGAATGCTGGATTTTTCATTAAGTCGCTTGGATATGACATGTTAACCCTCTTGCTCGCACATATGATGCTAGCAGGCAGGGCTTTATATACTAGTACTATCAAGGGAGTACCTAAGGTATGGGGTGGCGGAGTAGTTTTGCGTAACTAGCCATGTGGTAGAGTTGATGAAGGAGCTGCCTGCGTTCCTTCGTTTGTGCGTTGCATTGATATGAAATATCGGACCAGTAAAACAAGGCCTCGGTGATGATTAGGCGGGGGCTTGATCTTATGTTTAGGCATACACGTAACTATATGTACCTAATGATTGGTAAACTTGGAAAGCTGAGATAAGCCACCGCCGCAGCCGCCCGCAGCAGCTCGTATATAATGCCCAGCCCCTCACTTCTTATATTAATACTTAGCCAATGAAACGTGGCTTCGGTGAACGATTAGCCAGACTCTGACTGTAATGTTACGCTGTAAATGTAACATGGAAATCCTAGGTAAGCCACCGTTGCGGCTTGCATATATATATTACTTGACCCCTCATTTTATATTAATTTCAAGAATACGTAGTATGCGCGCTTTCTTTTCTTAAACTGATTTGGGAAGCTGAGGATAAGTCATCATTGCATCTTCCATCTGCAATTTGACTTCCCCTCAGATTCTCGATCTTTTCTCCTCCCTGCGTCCTACGATGATCTTTTCGCACTACCTATGTGTTGAAGGCGCTGTGACAGGTGTTCTCAATAGTATTGATACTGAGAGACGGCTACGTGATATTCACCGCGCTGTTCACATTTGAATGTCTTCTCCGGATTTGAGTCTCTCAATTCAAATTGCTCTTCATTTGGTAGATTCCAAATAACAATTCTAACTGGTATTGAAGCTTCTGCTACAACATCTTGGTGTTTCCAAATTTCATTGGTCTACTCAACTTTACCACGTCATTCTTCGAAATGGATGAAGAAAATGCCTCGCCAAAGGCAAGAAAAGGATTTAGCAGCAAGGATATGTGCGTCACAATAAACATGAGCTAAATCGAACGCAATTGTGACTAATTAGTATTTCAGGGCTGTAATACAGAAGACAGATGAAGAACAGAAAGAACTTTATGACTTTATCAGCAAACATAGTCATTTCTCGAAAGAAGAGAAATATGCTTTACGGATTGATAGCGTTTCGTCGTTTGAGAAACAATGGAATTTGACCGTCGATTCAAGAGGCAAATTCGAAGCTTGTCATGATCATGGAGTTGGGCTTGCAGCTCGAAGAGCCCAGCAGTTTGTAGAGTCTGCTTACGATGTCTTACAACATGTGGACCCTATCGTACAGCTCGTAAAAGACTTTGGCGCACCGTATGGTGGCATGGCCATTGGAACAATCTCTTTCCTCTTCACTGTAAGATTTGTTACCCATCCGTCTTGTTAACTACGCTAATTCGACTCCTCAGATTATCAAAAACAAAGCAAAACTGGAGGCCAGCATATTTGATACACTAATTCAAATTAAAGACAGAACTGCTGGACTAGAAGTATACCGGCATATTTATGATGATAATCATAAGCTCGATCAGCAACTACAGTCTAAAATTGTGCAGGCTTATGAAAGCTTCATGAAATTTTGTATAGCAGCTACAAGATATTATTCTAGTGGAAGCATGAGTTAGTATCTTTATCATTCTAAACCAATTGCATGCACTCATTCGTTTAGGGCGATGGCTGAGATTTACGTGGAGGTTTCCAAAATCTTTGGAAGATCGGGCATCCGAGGTGCAAAAGTCCATCGTTGACGTGAGATATACCAGCGAAGAGCTACTGAGCAAAAACATCGATAGAATCAAGCAGCTCAATCTGAGTCAGTCTCTTCTGCCGTTTTGTATATCGCAAGCTAACGTCGGGCATAGATCAGATGGAAGAAATTAAATGTTAATACCCCCTCCTTGGTGAAACCTTTAACAATCACTGACTAATGAATATTTGAAGCCCTACAAGGACAAATAGAGAGTAAGCTCTCCCAATACGATTTTCTACACGATAGTTTTGTTAAATATTGACAAATATATTAGAACTGCAAATGGGACGTGATAGCGACCGTCTGCTTGCAATCCAGAAGCTGCTCCATCTCGAAATATACTCTCAGGAATCTGAGTGGGAACTGGTACAAAAGTATCATCGTGATACTAATGCACATCTTGATCAACAATTCTCTTCCCTAGAGGTTATGAAAGGGACTCGGCTTGAGACCTTCAAAAATGATCCGAAAGTTCGCCAATGGAAAAATTCTAAGACTTCATGCATATTGGTTTTGGCAGGATATAACAATGACTATCTCTCCGGGAAGTGCTGGCTTTCTCCCTACGCATTGGACACAATCACAAACATGAGGGAATCGCAAGAAGATGAGCTGTACGCTTTCTACATTCTTGGGCATCGCAGTTATGATTCATTCCCTCAAGTAATCTGGTGCATTTTATTCCAGCTACTCAAACAAGCCAGTCAGGCTTTACAGGATGATACTCAGTATACAGAGTTATACACAGAAATCCAAAACTACCAAAAAGCGACTGAAACCGGTGGATCAAGCTATACTGTACATGATGTCAGCAACACAACTGATACACTCCTTCGAAAGGCAGCTCTAAGAATTTTAAAGATGATTAACCAGAATAAAACTGTCTGGATTATCTTAGATCGTGTGGATCAATGCAGATCAGGCACAACAAAGCATCAAAAAATGCTCATAAAGACGTTGGTATATCTACTTGAAAATACTGCTGCTCAAATAAGGATTCTTGCTATTGTTAACGGGTATGACTGGAAGGTAGAACAACAACGTGATGAGTTTGGAGCAAGAAATCAGTCTAGCGTTATTGTTCATAAATATGAACAGCGCTTCATTAGTTAACTATGAAGTTGTCGCGATTAGACGTCGAGGAGTTGTAATGATAGGTCGCAGGTTTTGGATTAGGGCTCTATTTGATCTATCTAGCTGCTATACTCCCTTTCCATTCTAATTACTGCGCATACCTGTATTGAATCATCTACTTATATCTATATAGGCCTCTTGAAAACATCATCAGACTGGCTTACAAAATATAAATGACAGTCAAAAGATCAAAGACAGCCGCGGTATAGGCGATGGCAACCTTTTTCCCGATGTGTTGATTCCGTGCATCTTAGTTACACGGAAAGTTCTTCTTGGCCGTGGATTCTGCATACCAATTGTCAAACGCCTCCTGTGCGCTATGCGGCAGACTTGAAATGAGCGGGAGCCGCACTGGAGATGAGCTTGGTGCCGCAGTTGAAGATATATCCATTGCTCCCGTTCTTTGATGTTCCAGGGGCGCCTATTGCCGAGTCGATCTGAGTGCAGAACTGGGAGGTAATGCCACACTGACCCCATTTGTCACAGTAGGCCTTGAGAGGACACTCATTAAGCAATGCCAGAGCGGTTGCGTTTGTTGGCCTCTTGGTGCCTGGAACCCGAGGACCGCATTTGGCATTCGCAATGGGTGCCGACATGAGCGCATCGCCGCTGCTCAAACATATCTTCATCTTTGCTTGGCGATCCTTGCAGCCCATCCAGCCCCAGGTCTTCTTGTTCCAGTTCTCGATCTGAGTGACCGTCACGGTGTAGGATGCCGCAAGGTCGGCGCAGGTGTCGCCCTTCTTCACTAGATATGTGGCACAGACGCCATCGGACTGGGGTTTCGGCGCATAGTTGGGGAGAGTGCCGGAGGAGCAGCACACACGCTGTTTGGCGGCCAGTGTCGAGCAAAGATTCTTCTTGGGATTGTATTTGGTAAAGTTGGCGCCCGAGATGCCGCACTTCTTGGCCAGACTACCACGAGAATCTCCTTGAGCGACAACGATCGTTCTGCAATTGGCTCGTGGATCGAGGTCGCGGCGATCGCTGGGGCTTGCCAGGGCTGACTGATGAACCTCAAGGGTTGACTTGGAGGTTTTCGAAGAGCTTGGGTCTGCAGCAACGCAATTGCCCATGCTCCAGGTCTTGACAGCATTCTGGACTTGAGCAAGGGCTGTCAGATCTGCCACTGACTCTGGAATTGCCACGGCCACACCAACGGTGTAATCTGCCGCTCTGTTCGAGCCACATACTTGAGAGAGTTGGAAGCTGCCCTCGACTTCATTCTTGAGGCCAGAAATAACTTGGTCCAGAAGGTTGACTGTTGTCTGTTTGTCCACCATCGGCCCGGTCCAGACGCCGATAAAGACGTCGTTCAGGTAGGCAAAAGTTGACGTTCTGTCGTTCAGCCCACACGACAAGGGAGATGTCTGAGACGAGGCGTACTGAGCAACGGCAACGGCATCGTCAGCGCGTTGACTCTGACCCGTACCAGACCAGACGACCTCGACGGTGGCAGTCTCAGAAGTATCAGAAGTAGTCGTAACATTGGCATCCGCGATTGCTTCATGACAGTTTGCGGCGCCATCCTTATTGTTATCCCAGCAGGCGAACAGACTCGACGTCTTACTAGAGTCGTCGACAGGAATGTGATGACTCATGTCTAAGTGCATAGACTCCTTGCAGGAGTAAGTTTCATGGCATCATGGTAGAGCGTCCAGTTGCTCGAGTTGATGCCGCTTTCGGAGCATGACTGTGGGCATGCCTGAAGCTCAGAGAACCACCCTCCCTTTTGTTGTGCTGTAGCAAGGCTGCAGAGACTCAGGAGAGCAATCGAGGCCGCCAGAGTGTGAAATGGTAAAGACAACACATTAGTCGGCCATCGGGCTTGTTCAGATATGGCTCAGGATGGTTCAATGCCCAATTTCCTGACATGTGTTTCGAAGAAACAGGAGGCATTTTATAACAAAAAAACTCCAAGTCCGCATCCCAAGTCTTCAACCTCTACTAGTATGATTATTATGATGATTGGGCTATGCAAACAAAGCAATGACTACGCCTCATCCAGGCGTTATTTCCGAAAGGACACCCATTTTCTCAGAATCCTTTCTGCCTTTCCATAGATAAACCTTTACTGAGATTTTTGTGGAGGTTGAACAATCACAGCCAGCGATATGATAGACTACATGTACACATGGCTAATCGGCCATACACTCTGAGATCGGCCGCATACTCTCAGGTCGACCGAACCGGCCATAAGTCAACACATCGCCGCTTTTTCTTTTGCTATTTGCGTAGTTGTTATGCTGGATGCCATTGGCTATAGAGATCTTGAGATCCTATAGGATATTGTAACCTAGATGCAATCTCAAGGCTGTAACTAGTCCTGAATTATGGGCTAATCCCCCAAGCTTGTTAGGAAGCATAATTGGATGCCAGTCCGGCAGCTAAGCCAGGTAGTGGCATCGCCAATTCGGCACGTCGGCATGTCGGCCAGTCGGTTACACGTCTTTGCCTCTTTCGATCACACCAACTCTTGTTTTTAGATCCAATAGCAATCAAATTCCCCTTTACAACGAATGCCTCATTATTTGAAGAACAATGGTATTCTTTTTGCAATGCGAGGGCCTATCAATTAGTTGGCATTCTGGAGGATATCACCAAAATCAGAACTCTTGCCAAGATGCGCGCATGCTTAGGTAGTGGTTCGGTCCCGAGCACCTTCAGGGGTGGTAGACCATGAAACATTTTGGCAGCATGTAACTCTGGTATTTGGAGTCCTGGGGATGCAAAAAAATAAAGAAGACGTCTAACTCAAGAAGAAAGCTTGATGAGACCTCGAATCTTCCGAGTGTCTTTACCGCTCTTTTATTCTCATATTCCATGACCTTTAGATGAGCATTAAAAGTGAAACTGGTCCCGGTTGACATGGCAAATTGCAACTGACTCCTTCCATGCTTGATCTTACCTAGGTACGCTGAGGTAGCGCTACTACACAGGCCTGAAAGGCCACAGCTTAATACTTATATAACTGTCGAACAGACCACTCCAAAACTAAATCTAAGTGACCACTTCTCTTGCCTAAGTGAGTGCTATATTCCTAGTTCCATTAACAGTAACTCATTTCTAAGTACCCACATATACAAAGCAGCTGCTAGAGTCTTATTCGCCGTCATCCTTTGTTAGAAGGCTCGGATTGGTCAACCCGAGCATATGGTAGAGGTTACAAAAGAGCATTGTATTAGTATGGAAATGCCGCACGGGCCTATAACAAACAGCTGAGATCAATAGCTAACAAATAGAAAATACAGAGCGCTACAGCTGTCCTATAACAAGCGGGTGCCCTGTTGTAGCAAAGCTCGGTGCAATAAGAAGGTCGAAAGGCTCAACCACACTTCAACATCCTCGAACTTTTTTTTTCCTACGCAACTCACGTATCCTGTGGCCAATTTATGGAATATGCCATGACAAACGAGTGCCGAGTAACCTATTATGTGGGTTGGGAACTAGCCCATGATCTCTCATGATGTCCTGAACACTAGGACTAATACCATGCATTCCTGCGAGAGATTGTGATGAATGCTCTCGTAGCAGACTAATAATGGCATTAGACTTGGTGAGATCTTCTACACCTTTTCCGTCGTCAGTTCGAATTGTTGCATCTGCTCCATACTGAAGAAGCAGTTTGACTGAGCCGATATCACCACGACACGCTGCTCCTTGGAGCAACGTGTTGCCTTCGTAGCCATCAACGATGTTGGGGTTTGCGCCACAGACAAGGAAGAGCTCCAACGCTTCATAATCAGCTCCGGCCTTGGCCGGGTGGAGGGCACAGTACCCGCTCAATCCAGGCTGTATGTTGGGATCGGCACCATAAGAGAGAAGTAAAGCCACTGTCTGACAATTTTGAGCAGTATATGTCAGTAATGTGTTCCCATTGCTGTTCCTCTCGTCAGGATTAGCGCCGCAAGACAACAGCCACCGAAGGAGTCCGGCGTCACGATGCATATTGACAGCATGAAGCAAGCCGGCGTGTGGCCGGGTTTCTGGATCACGGTATCGCTTTGTTAACGCCTGCGACATCACATTGGTGTATCGAAATTGACCGTCGCCATATTGAAAGATAAGATTGATCATCGACAAATCATCACTTTCACCCCGGTGATAGGTGCGAATGATTTCCGCAGCGGCATCCGGATCGATGTCGATTGAGTCTCGTTTCTGCTTTAACAAGCGCGACATTCTGCCTGTGAAGTTGCCCTCGATACTTGCTTTCACGACGCCAATTGTGATGTAAAGGCTGAACCCGCTCTCTTCCGTAATCCAGTCTAGGGTTCCATTTATCTGTTCAAACTGTCCACGCTGCGTTGATAGCGAGTGACCGCCCTCTTTAAAGACCTCAGCTGCGCACAAAGTTAGTTCCTCCAAGAAGTTATATCCATGCTCTTCGATTTGGCGGCAAGATTGCCTAAAGACGTCGAATAAGGTGTATTCATAGTTTGCATAAGTGATCAAGAACCTGGCAATGCTCCTAAAGACTATTCTAGCATTCTCGGCAGCACCATCTGCTGATTTATTTGCATCCACATCGACAGCTTCGTCACTCATTCGGAGCCCACGCGGAGGATAATGAACGAAGAGGAGGACCAATTCTTCATAGCATCCGCTCTTAAGTGCATTCTTGTGAAGCTGTGGTGTCATCGTTATCCGAATTCCTCGACCAAGCAATTGCCGTACGATTCTCGTGGCCTGTGTTGAGTTGCGAGCCGCAACCTCCGCGACTGTCTGGCCATCATCTCCTAAGTCTGGATCGCGTGCCAAAAAGTAAGTTACCATATCATCTCCGTGGCGGCGATTGTTTGCCGCAATCAGTAGCGTCTCCTTCGTGGCAGCCGCGACTCCGCCACCCAGATAGCGTTCCAAGACTTCAACCACCGGAACCGAGCCTTTTTCCACTGCTGTCAAGAGAGTCTGTGTACTTATTCCGAAATCCTTAGAATTTTGCATGAATAATTTCATCATTTGTCCAGTTTTATCGTGCTGTATCGCAGCCTCAACAACGGTCGGAGAAAATGTGAAACCAGGCGCCTGGAGGAGGCCATCCAAGCGCCTCATTTCGCCAGTCTTGATTCGCTCCATGAAGATGCGGTCTTTGATCTGCTCTAGGCCTCTTATGGCATCTCTGACCGTCCCAAGCATGCTCCAACCCATCTTCGCGTCATATTCGAAGTCGAACAAAAATCGCACAATATCGCGAACGAGACACTCCTCAGATTTATCATAGTCTGGTGTCAGGATAGGGGACTCTTTGTCGGTAGCAATTCCTCTCAGCGCATATATGAGATCTTGGGACTCGGTTGCCTGAGCTCCGCCAAACTTGGACAACAGAGTATAGAGACAAGGACCCTTGCTCCACCATGAAGTCTTCCGCCAAGGCCCCGGCATGATATCAATGACCGATTGGCAATGTACGCTTGGGCTGACTTTGAAGATGATTGGAGAAATGCTAAAGACGCTTGCTGCTATCTCTTTCCTCCCGCAGCACACAATGGCGTTCTTTGCATTTACCACTTCCTGCAGAATCCAGACCCTCAGAAACCATGGGCGGTTAAGAAGGCCTTTTAATCCCAAGGAAAGCAAATCGATATCAAGCTTGCCCATTTCTTCCTGAACAGCTTCCTGGATTATCTTCCAGCGTTGATCGTCGCGGGCCCAAGACCGGTATGCATATTTGCTGCGTACTTGCTGGACATGACCCATATAGTCCATAAACGCATCAGTGCTGTAGGTCGCGGGTCCCAGAAAGAAAACAACGCTGTCAGCCTGCTTGTATATATCACTCATCTGTGCGACTTGGTGGCTTCGCTCCTTCGTGTTGCTTTGGTCAATACAAACTGCATCTATCCAGAGGATTCGATCAGTGTACGGGCGGCGAAGGCTTATGAGAGCCTGGTATAGGTTTTCTGTGATTGCCAGCTTTTGCTCATCAACAGTGACAATCCTTGGCGTACCTGGTGCGCCCCAGGTGTAAGACAGCGCTTCATATTGAATAACATCATCATGATGAAGAAGCGCTTCGAACAGATTGCACGTCAATTCGCCTCGGCTTCCTTGATGAAGTCGTAACAGTCGGAAGATAGGCTGGTCATGATCGAGACGCTTATACCGGTATTGATCCATATTTCGTTTATAGGCGATGGATGCACGGGGGAACTGATACCGACGAACTCAGAGTGTAATTATCACTAGAAGTTTGTCGTAATTAATTTCCTACCCACTATAAAATAAAACAGCGCTGTGTTCTGAGATGAGACAGTTGTGGGAAGAGAAGAAAGGCGCAAGGCTTCAGCGGTCTGCCTTCATTTCAGCCTGATGAGCAGCCTGGCCAATTGCAGATGGATGCATGTGCATGCATACAACACCGCCACACTCTCGACTGCCCGATGAGAAACAGCCTCATATCTGCCGGAGTATCACTACTTGGGGCGGCTATTGGTAGCAGGCTTGAGGCGCGTACCACTTTATTTTGATAGTCGAGACATACAAATGAGTTTATGCGATAAATTATAACTTGAGCCTGTAGAGCCAGTGTTCAAACCAAAAGAAGCATCTGCGCCTTAGATGTACCCATTTCCCATTTCCGGATTACTTCGCCCTGCATTATCCCATGTACGTAACACTCTCCTATAATTCTCCAAGCTCGCTTCCCTGATAAAGCTGGACACTTTCGAAGCACAAAAGGAACGCCAGAGCCAAAAAGCACCGCAACTCTATCCCCAGGCTCAAGTTTCTGAGGACCTAATCCAAAGTAGCCTTCTTTAGTAATGAAGAACCGTCGCCCTAAAGCAAACTTCTCAATACCTGCTTCCAACGTATCCTGTGGCACTAGGCTTGGCTGCTGTTGCAGAGCTTTATCTGAAGCATCAATAGCCTGGCGTAAAAGTTTCCTCTCGGAGTGGCCTGTGTCTTTGGGGCTACCGACATCGACGTCTGATACGATATGATTTACCCGTCTTTTCTTTGCTTGTCGCTTAGCAAGCTCATCGCTGCGTCGTCTGCAATCCCAATACGGATCTGGTACCAAATTCACCAAATGGAATGGCCGATGATAAAGATCGTAAGGCTGTTCTTGCCATGTTGAAGCAAGCTGGTATAAAAGGGCAATATGGGCATCATCATGCTGTGGGAAGGCTCGCTCTTTTAGCTGAGGATCTAGCGTGCTGCCAAACTTATAGTGGCAATCTTCGGTCTCTGTGTTAAGAGTAGACAAAGATTGGTCCAAAGCTTCGCCCATCTCTGCAAGCTCAATCAAACCCGTTGTTTTTGCTGTCATTGGAGGCTGCCCTGGCGACCAAGACTTCGAAGTTTCCGGAAGCCAGTCTTCGTAACGGGGTTCCCCCTTTCCTGTCACCTGTCCCACGAATAAAGTTGACCAGAAGGCTTGCAGTAGCTGATTTACAGTTGGATATCTGACAGATGCTTTTTTATTGGACATGGCAAGATGCTTGCAGCAACCAACGGCGACCATGAAACGAGTCGCGTCCGTCCAATTTTTACTAATATCCTCTGCGAAGCTCTCATGGCATATTTCCAATTCATCCCATAAGATCCCCTTCATCTGTAAAGTTTTCTCATTCTTGTCTATCTCGAAGGAGGCATCTACCGAAGTAGCAGTTGTGTACAGTGGCTCTGAACTCGAGTGTCTCAACTCTTGCAGTAGCCACCTTTTCATTTCACGCTCCGTGATGAGCTCCCCTTGTTGCAATGCGTCAGGTTCGTCAGGTAGATGGGGATTTTCGTGGCCAACGACGAGCATGGAATCATCGCGTTGGAGCAATTCTCGAAGTTGATTTTTCATGCCAGGTGGCATTTGATGAAAAACAAAATTTGATGGAACATCCTCCAGATTTTTAATAACTGCAGAGCCGTTGGCTGCCATTTCTAGTCGTTTAATTCGGCGTTGTCGTAACACCTCATCTTCCGAAGTCATTGGTGGACCGTTGCCACGGAATGTAACCGACGACCGCCCACCGCTTCCATCGGCTCTCATAGGCTTCTTGCGTTCCGTATACACCGGCTCTGCCCACCACGGAACATCGAAATAACGCTGGATGTTTCGAAGAGGTAAAGGCTGCGAGCCAAGTGGAGTAGACCAGTCGGGAACCCAAGATGGTAGATCTTGATCACCATTGCCACATTGGCGAAGAATCTCTAGCTTAGATTCACCTAGCAACAACATTGCAGCGAAGTCGGTGTATACCTTTGTCACAGATTCGTCATACCTGGTTTCAAGTCGGTTTGATGGCAGTATAATAAACATGTTCCAGATTGCGTATATCTTGTCTCGCTTATCTGAGGCTTGAAAGGACCGATATCGACAAACTAAGTCAAACCAGGCTTGAGAACTTGGCTTGAATAAGAAGTGACCTACAGTATCGCGCAAACTGTCAAGCTCTAATATGTCTGTGATGGCGGGGAATGTTTGTCTGTGGTCATCCTGGTGAGCTTTCATGCGAGCGGCTGCTACCACCACATTTATCCATAAAACGTGAGCTTGGCCGCAGTAGATTGCTGCTTGTCCCACCTTCGTAGCCGCTGCCCCCATCGTAAGCTCTTGAACAATCCAGATACGTTTCCACCAAGGGCGTTCGAGCAAGCTTTGGATAGCTTGCCAGACATCATCCTTAATAGTACCTAGCTTGTCATAAGGAGAGCCACTACCTATCTCGAGAATCGACTGAATTGCCAGATCACTGTCGAAAGAAGGTGGTCCAAGCCAGATAACAAGTTCACTAGCCCTCATATAGATCCTGTTCATCATCGGAATCTGGCGATTCTTTTCCAATAAATCATTTTGATTAATGCATACTGCATCTACCCAAAGATCGATGCATTGATTTCCTTCCTGTCGATGCTGCAAGAATGAGTATAGGTTATCAGCAACAGGTAGCTTTACACCATTGACAATGATATTGTGAGTAAATGAACTATGCCCCCACGTATAAGACAAAGCCTGAAAAGAGGTGACATCTTTTGGACTTTCTTGCAGGTTATACTTGATAAGCGAAGCTCGAATTTCAGCTGATGGCCCGCCTCTGGTTTCTAATCTCAACAGGCGTATTTCCGACTCGCTTAGCGGGAGCTGTCGGTAAAGCCATTCGGGACTATCAACAATGTTTAGATTTTGGGCAGACATGAGCGCAAATGTCGGATGGGCGTTCTGATTAAGATAAACCTTATGCTTGATGCAATTAGTATACTGCGCTTCGTCGTAGACTTTAATATAATACGGCTGTTCAAAAGTCGCAGTTAGGCAGAAGAGCACAGCCACATCATGTAATTCGCCCTCAATAAAGCCTTACTATCACAGCCTCAATATGATAGGTCATAAGCTTGAGCTGACTACAACACATTGGTAATGGCTATGGCTAATACTGCTCACATCCTTTCATTTACAATTGTCTTACAGTAGAAGCAGCCTAAATAGAATGTCAAGCCTAAGCAATATATCATAAAAAGCTCATCTGCTTTTCTAAGTCCAAAGCGACCGATTTGCGCTAGTTATTTAATTACCACAAAATAACCGCTGTCTAGTACATGCACGCTAATTGCCGGCACAGAATCTCCCGTTCATTATCCCTCAATCCCTCGTTTAAGTTGAATAAAACAAAAATAAGAAGCAGAAAATACTCCAGCTGTAAATTCTTTAATCCCAACACGCCGAAATAAACGACAAGCTTTTCTCTTAAACCATGGAAGTATTAATTTTTTTCTTCTCGGTCCCCGAAATGGCGTATAACAAAGTGGCGAGACCTTTGCCGCCGCCAGAGACTGCAAGAGCAGTTGCTGATCCAGATGTTCGATAAATAAGGGCACCGAATAAACCCCCGACGACAAGTGCAATAAGAAATGCGACGCGTCTCGTTCGAGGATGATTATCCACGACAAAGAGCTTTCGGTCAATCATAAGATCTACCCACGCTGCAGTTGCCATGGCAGTACTGATTTCAGTTGCCGCCAGGCTTCTAGATTGCACCACCTGGCTACCGGCGGCAAACGCCAGCAAGGCCACAACACCAACTGCTGTTGGCCCGTGGTCATGAACTCCATACCGGTATTGAACTGCGGCGGCACCAAAGACGAGGCAGGTTTGGACCAGATTACATAGAATCAGCCACCATCGCTTCCGAGGACCGACTACATGGCTCAATTGGCCTGTTAACCATCCTGCGAAAAGAAAGACACCAAGTCCCGTGCCAATGTTGGCAGTGTAGAACATGTCGCCGTTGAATTTTGGTATAATCAGGGCCAGACACAGGAAAATGGTGTTGCCTGTTTGGTTCGAGGCAAAACAGTGGTAGTCTGGGAATGTTGTTGCATCTTGAGCAGCGTTAAGTTAGCCTTGGGGAGCAGAAGCACTATGCAAGGAAAAGGGGTAGCTTACCTTGAATACCTGTGCAAATGGTTATTAACAAAAGTTGGATCTCAACAAATAGTGACGTGCGAACGTCCTGCGTGAAGTGATCGATATATCCATTCTCTGTCTCACATTTCTCGAACGTCTGTGGAGCCTGTTGTCCAGTAGAGATCGACCCTTCTCGACTAGTGTCTAGAGGGCTGGCGATGATCTTGACCTCTGTTTCAGCCATTGAATCTGTCAAAGATGCGCTGATAGGTTTTTAAATAATTAGGGCTGAAAAGAATGTGTATTGGATCAAAAAATGAAGATTCAGTGAGAGGCAAAACCTGGGGGGCAAAGATTTACTTAATACAAACGTCGGGACCGACTTCCGTCTGAGGCACGGTACAAAAATTGGATAACCGCCGGCCCCACGTCCGAACTCAGGATCCATGAGCACTGCTTCAAGGAGGGAGCTAATAACGGACTTTTCCGGCCAAGTAGCTTGGCGAGAAGCGCATACATAATGATGTCGCTGCTTTTAACGAAAGCTGCCTCTTAGATCAAGTTGTGGCTCGCTGATATTGCGCAACGCGGCAAGGATGTCTTGGCGAACAAGGTTCACGATAAGGAACGCTTCAACTCAAGTCGCACACAAGACGTCCTCACCACAGCATGGAGGTTGCATTGCTAGTTGCGACGCGAGAGGGCAGAACAAGACAAGCAAACACATCTTTTGCGCTCATATCAGCCAGTTGACCCTATCCTAGAAACCAGCTTTTGATGTCCATCCCTTTCGCTACTGCTCACGATGGCGAAGTCCGACAGACGCAGCCGCATCCAGTTCAGCTCACCGACTGGTTATTACGGGCGTTGGTTCTTAAATAATATTACGTACATGTGTTCTAGCAAGGTAGGATAGGGGCGGCGTCATCGAGAGCAGAAGAAAGAAAAAAATCACAATCACCCGATTTAAAGCGGCGTGGCGGCGAAAGCCTGCTTTTTCCAGCCAATAGCCAGCGGCTGACTTTCCGTATCCGGAGTGGGCCCCGGCCGGCTGCCGACAAGCCAGCCGCGCGGGCCGGAAGAAGATCTGGTTGTAGGTCCACCGATGCCGCCGACATCCGCGCTGCCAATGCTGTTATTTGGAGGGAAATGGTTGTCGAGATGAGGTCGGAATATGGTGAAAATTAGAGTTATAGAAAATGTAGGCTGGGTAGTGCACGAGAACGTGGAGTTGGATGATCCGGAGAATATATGGAGTAGATCTTGATCGATTAATTGTGGATGTGACTCTGCCAGGAGCATGTCTTAGACACCCTATCCAGGGGTACATGTAAGCTGTAGACTGGACAGGCGTAGCCCAAGGACGTCTGCTCGGCTTTAGATCCTCCAAATAACTTGTACCACCTAGTAGGTATTTTGCTACATATAAGCTAATTGCAACGAGTAGTGGTAGATAGTTCTGCCAGCATGGAAGTTACAACAGCCGCGCCTTGTCAAGGCCAAAGAATATGACAAGTATACCAAGCCTGCATTCTTCTACTGTCAAGCAATTACTACCCTCCATTGAACGCATTAATCAACAAGAATAAGAAAAGAAGATGACCTGTACCATGATTCTTCCCTCAAGATAATGCCGTATTAAGGCAGATTTGAGCTAGCGTTTAGAGACGGCATGCTACAGTAGTCGCTGCATGCACCTCTTGAACTCTCATACTTTGCTGGCCTCTTTTTCTGGCGAATGGCTAACTTACCAAAACTTTTTCCCAGTGCTTACACAATGTGACATAGTAGTTCATTCACATATTTACTGTCTGGAACGTTCGCCTATTTTTTGGATAATCACCATTCATCATTTCATCTACAAGTAGGCTTCATTTTGTGCAACTCGCCAGTAGTTGGCGTTTAGCCGCTATTTTGCCGCTAAAGAAGCAGCGTTCGTGCACCGCAACGCGTTTAATGGAAGTCACGTGCTGTCGCATCTGCTGACTAACCGACGCGATACGCGATGCTCGGGCAGCACCACTTTCATATTATTGTTCCCGCCGCATACGATTGACTACCAACTGCGATACGGCGTGCAAGGGTCTGGCCTCAATGCTCGCCAGAATCCCGATGCAGACCAGTCTGGCATTCAGTAGCCGGCTTCATGACTCGAAATAACCTCTCAGGCCACCTCTCCTGGTTGTTGAAGAACGTTGCGTTATCAAAACCGACCGCCCGCGAATTTCCCACAACAAGCGATACCTCGTCGTTTCGGTTTTCGCAGTCGCAAGCTGCCGATACGCCTGCAGCAAATTTAAGTCAAGCAACCACTGCATCGACCAGCGCAGACAAACGAATATCCCAGGTACAGGCGTCTGGGAGCTCAAATGGCCTGCCGAAGAGAGAAGAAGCTTCACAGGATAAAGAAGTGGTGGTTTTAGAGGACGACAGTATGGGCCGCTTGAGCTTGTCTACGAAACCGAAGAAAACATCGCTTCTGTCCCAAAACGGCCAGCTCGCAACACCTTTAACCACCGATCCTGAGACCAAATCACGCTTGAATGAGCCTCTGAAGTCTAGTGGTGCGTATACCAGATGATGATATAGGTGTTCCTGGATTGATTATTTGGTAGCAGCAACAAAAAGCACAGTTCTAAAACAAGATGGCACATCAGAAACGAAATCAGGTTCACTTCGCCGCATCTCGTCGCCGGAATTCAATACTGATTTCGCCGACTTCGATGATGATGACTTGGAGTACATGGATCTAACAAGAACAACCGGTGCATCTGACGAGGAGTCACTACAATTCGGCGACGATGTGAAGGTCTGGACGGAAAAAGATGCATCCTGGGAAGCGCCGCTGCCTCAAGCCAAAAAGAGGAAGAGTGCTGATACTGGCGACGCTTCTGCTGAAAGCCAATTTCCAGATGTATATCAGCTCCTGGGAGCTGATCCTCCAGTCCCGACTCCTGGTCGTCGATCCACGAAAAAAGTAAGCTTGTCTAAGTTTCATGGCCCCCTTAGGAAAGCGAGATGAAAGATATTCTGTTGCTAAACTACCCAAGGCTGCGAAGAATGAATTATCTAAGATGTCTTTGGATGGGCCTTCCTCTCCCTTAGATGGAGCTACTACTCAAAAGGCTATTAGACGGACTCCAGAAATAGACTACGCTATCAGTAGTTCTGAACGACGAAAGAAGTTAAAGGTTGCGAATGAGCGGCCTTTGTCTCTAGACTCTCCAAATCTCGACGATGCTGTTCAACCTGAGCCACGACAAGCTAATGAATACTTCATCCCTGATTCCGACGACGAATTTATTACACCGCCGCCGTATACAACTACTTCTAAGAAAAAGTCCGCGAAGTCTTTTGGAGATGTACAAGAGGAGGACGCTTTTCTCATGGACGTTGAAGATTTAGCTGTATCCCCCAGACCAAAACAACCACGTTCATCTCTACCTCCTCGGCCGGTGCAGACTGAGAACTCGCCTGCTTTACCCCACCAAAGCATATCTGAAAGCCAGAGCACTGGTACCATCAATAATTCTGACGAAACACACCCACCTCAGCATAGACTTCCGTCATCTAGTCAAACACAGAAAATCTTGTCTCGCATTTTAGCAAATCCACAGCTTCTTACCCAACAAAGTGAATCCCTAGACAACCAAATTCAGCAAAATGATCGAGACTTTTTACAAGCTATAAACAACCGGCTACCGAAAGACAAGAGAAACGAAATCAAAGCAGAAAAAGAACGACTCATTCAACAGCAAAAAGCAATACAAGGCCTCAATAAAGCTGTGAATAGCTATAGAGCCTTGAACGAACAGAGAGAAGCAGTTGCTCTGCAGGTAGCCCAGTCTTATTCAAAGGGCGTGGATACAGATGAAGATGAAGCCCGACTTGATGAACTTACTGAGCGTGTCGAGTCAACAGAACGAGAGCTTTCCCAAATACTGGCTGAGGCAGGCCTTGACGAGGACAGTTTCGTGGGAAAACCCAAAGAACCTATTCGGCATGAGAGAGACGAGCATATCGTTGTACTTGGTACGCAAGCTGGGCATAGAGGCATGGTCAATATGTCGCGGAGCTCAAAAGATATCCCACTATCCATGGGAGGAACTCAAGTTGTTCACCAAACACAGCTACCCGAACCAATTCGATCACAACTAGGTAATGAGCCACCGCACAACTTTTCTCTTCCTGATCGTGCCTCTAGGTCTGTTTCAAGGGCCGCACCGCATTCCAACATAGATCATCTCATGGACGTAGAAGACGATTTCTTCTCTGACTTCGACGAGGTTGAGATGCACCTGCCTCCGAAATCTGCCAAGAAGACCACTCAGCTCGACAAGGGTAAAACTCCTCTGAGAAATCGCACTCAGCGCTCAGGAAATGAATTTAGCGATTTCAGCGACGATGCTGATATGCTTGCATTTGCTCAAGACTACGAGATACGCCAGTCTGCTGACGGGCCGCCCCACGATTCTCGAGTGTTTTCAGAGACCTCGGGAAATGCCTTACCTGTGCCAAAACAGAGGCAACTGTCTTCAAAAGGGCCGCCACCTCCAGAACCGTCTCAAACAAGGATACCGCCAGAACTTATGAGGCATTCTTGGTCGGCAGACGTCCAAAAGATCTTGAAAGATCGATTCAGGATGAAGGGATTCCGGCATAATCAATTAGAAGCCATCAATGCCACACTTGCTGGCGAAGATGCATTCGTTCTGATGCCAACAGGCGGTGGGAAATCTCTGTGCTACCAGCTTCCAGCCGTTGTCAAGTCAGGGAGAACGAGAGGAGTGACCATTGTCATTTCTCCTTTACTGAGTCTGATGCAAGATCAAGTGGATCATATGAAAGCCTTGGGGATACAGGCCGTTGCGTTCAATAGCGAATGCTCTCCCGAGTACAAACGACAGGTCATGTCTGCTTTCAATGAGCGGAACCCAGAGCATTTCATTGAGCTCCTCTACATCACACCAGAAATGGCCAGCAACAGCGTCCAGTTTCTTAACGCCATGATGAATCTATATCAAAAGAAAAAATTCGCCCGTTTCGTCATTGACGAAGCCCACTGTGTCAGCCAGTGGGGGCATGACTTCAGACCTGATTACAAGAATTTGGGCCAGCTTCGGGCCAAGTTTCCCAACGTTCCTGTCATGGCCTTGACAGCGACTGCAACCCAAAATGTTATTGTCGACATTAAGCATAATCTTGGCATGATCAACTGCCAAGTGTTTTCGCAAAGCTTCAACCGTCCAAATTTATACTATGAAGTAAGGCCAAAAGGTTCAAATCCGGTGGCGACCCAGCAAATTGCCTCTCTGATCAATTCCAAATACCGCAATGTCACTGGAATTGTGTACACAATCTCACGAAAACAAGCTGAAGACGTCGCCGAGAAGCTTTCAAACAGTGGTATTGCAGCCCGTCATTACCATGCTCAAATAACGCCTGCGGAAAAAGTTGAGGTGCAGCAAGCATGGCAAAAGGGCCAAGTCAAAGTTGTAGTAGCAACCATTGCGTTTGGCATGGGTATCGATAAACCAGACGTCAGATTTGTTATGCACCATGGCATTCCGAAGAGCTTAGAAGGCTATTACCAAGAAACTGGCCGCGCGGGTCGAGATGGGAAACCCTCTGACTGTATCTTGTTTTATGGAAAAGGGGACATAAGAGTCCTCAAAAAACTGATCATAGATGGAGAGGGCAGCAAAGACCAGAAGGAAAGACAGATGGTAATGTTGAACCGTGTAACGGCGTTTTGTGACAACAAGGCCGACTGCCGACGAACAGAGGTGCTCCGCTATTTTGGGGAAGATTTCAACGCGTCGCAATGCCACAAGACTTGCGACAATTGTCAGGCCGGGCTGGTTTTTGAGCAGCAGGACTTCTCAGAATACGCCATTGCCGCTATACGAATCGTTCAGAACCAGTCGAGGCTCACAGCGAACCAGTGCGCGGATATTCTGATTGGTAGGAAATATCCAGAATATCAAGAACAGAATTCAGACGAGTACCACGGCATAGCCAAGGGAATGAAGAAGCATGAGATGGTGCGCGTTATTGACCGCCTCTCAGCTGAAAAGGGCTTTCATGAAGACAATATTGTTGGAAATCATGGTGTCGCTATTCAGTATCTTCTAATCGGACCTACCGCCAATCAATTTTTGATGGGAAGACGGAAGTTGATGTTAACAGTCCAGGTTTCGGACGAAGGTGCCTCAAATCAGGCGAAGACAAAGAAAACCAAGGCTAGCAAAAAGCAAAAAGAGCCAGCAGCTAATGTGCAGTCAACATACGTCTCGTCACCAATCAATAGACGTAGAAAAAGAGCGGCAGTCGTCGATAGCGATGACGAGTCGAACTTGCCTATGACCTCACGTGGCTATGTGAACGATGGATTCGTTGTCTCGGATGAGGAGGTTGAGGAGGATGAAGAGGATGAAGAAGCCTTCGAACCGCTCCCACAGCATCGGCCTGCCAAACCGACTTCGAAACCTACCTCTAAAAAGCCATCACGACCGGAACCTATCCCGAGTAAACATACACTGCAAGATCTGCCAGATATCCACCAAGACGTGGTGGACGCTTTTGTTCAGGAGGCACGTCAGTTAGAAGAGCGCATCCGAAATAAACTAGGCCTCAGACGGCCAATGTTTACAGACACTCATCTACAAGAAATGGCTATCAACTGGACCACTTCGATCGAGAGGATGAGCCGCATTCCCGGGATTGATGTCGACAGAGTCAAAGAAGTCGGCCCAAAGCTGATCCCGTTGCTGAACATGTATCATGCATCATATCGTGAGATTGCTGCGGCAGACGCTGGCACTGGCGCCTCGACCTCCAACTTGAATCAAGAAATAGTAGACTTGATCAGTTCTGATATCGATCTTGACGAAGATGAAGAGGGGGAAGGGGAAGACTCCCATTACTTCTCTTCGAAGCCGGCAGCAGATGTCCAAGCCTTTCATGATAGGCTCCAAACATTGAACAGCCAGCCAACTCAGTCCAGAGGCAAATCTTCCTATAGCCGAGGAGGAGGCAGAAAATTCTCTGGCAAAAAGTGGCCCAAGAGAGGCGGCGCAGCTGGCGGCTCCCAACGCCGGGGTAGTGGTTCCAGCAGGAGAGGCGGTGGTTCCGCAGGTGGTGGCGGCGCGTCTTCGTCACGGTCTGCTTCAGGAGGCAGCGGTTTCAAGCGAGATGGCAAGATAGTCAAGAAAAGTGGTGGCGGTATCGGCCTAATGCCATTATGATCACTGGTTACAGCCTGAGTGAACCAGTATTTCATCTTTTACAAGCAGGGGGGGTTTCTCAAAAGAAAAAGAAAGCAAGGGACCTGCCTGTTGATTTACGTGTATGATGTGGGGTTTTGCGGTTTTACAGGCTTCTTGCGCGTGGCACAAGATACGAGACGTAACGAAGATATCCTTCCTCTTAGCATTCTGCCCTCAGCGCTACGACGTTGTGCGGCAGAGATGATTGCATTTAACGAGGCGATTTTGATTTGGGCGATTTCGGCATTTACATCCTTATTCCCTTTGGAGCGGCGCATTAGAAGAAAAAAAGAGGAAAGATGGGGGATGCGGATTATGGCTCAGCGATTAGAGGCAATATAAGTAGATATGAGAAACAGGCCGCACGTGTGTATATATGTCTTTATACATGTATTTCATCTTGACTACAGATGTTGTAAAGGCTTTGTTCAATGTCAGAATCGTGAATCAGTAGCTGCTCAGATGAACTTGGGGGAGCTCCCGTCACATGATAGCAACTGGGTTTCGCGAAGGCTTTCAGCTTTAAAAACCCCGCATAGAAAAGCCCGAGAAGCGTGTCTATAAAGGGAACAAACCCAAATCTTCTATTTGCGCAAGTTCCTCTTTCTCATGACGACGGTAAAAGGAGAGAGCGGAGAGCAGATTGTGGTGGAAGATCTCGACGCCGTAGAGCAGAGAGTGCTGCAGAATCTGATTACCTGGCTCATTGGGAATCCAAACGCTGATTGGCACGCCACCATGTTTTCGCCTCATGTTGAGCAGTGTATAGGTGGCGGCGTGGAGTATATGACGTGGCCGCTGGAGTCAAAAGTTTGTTTTTTATTTATTCACGTTTATCTAAGTCTTAATCGAGGACTGGTTCATATATGTGTGTGCGTGTGTGTATACTTACTTATATATCCCATTATACAAAGTACCCCGGGTTCGACTGGGTCATATGCAGAAGGGCTGCCCAGCCTTCCCACCAGAACGGCCGGCATATGGATCCCAATCGCCGGCTTCGACGGATGCAGGATTGAAGACGAGGCCGGGTTCACGTATGAGCTGCTGGTAGGCAAAAAGTATCAGATGCTGAAGCCGTCTAGAAGGGTTACATTGAGAGTTCGAGAGGGCGATGTGATGCATATGCTGTGGCTGATGAAGCAAAAGGACAAGTAATTGTTTGAAGGGTGGGGAATTATATGTTGATTACTTATAAGTAGCCATCATTACGCGTTATAGTACTCAAGTTTAACCAAGTTCAAGCTTTTATTAAGCTTACGTCTCGGGAATTATGGTCCAAATAGGATTATTCTCTACGCCAAAGAGGAATCTTCTATAGATCAATGGGGAGCACTTAGTAATTATGAGGTTTCTAAGCGGCATATAAGACGCTTTACGTACACTGCATTCATATATAAACACCGTATATGTAATGATATTAAAGAAAGTTGACACTTGGATACTATTCAATCTACAATAAGCTGTATTCGTCAATATGGGCATTCCAACTGATATCACGCTCTATACGGTAGCCACGCCCAACGGCATCAAGATTTCCATCCTGCTAGAAGAGCTGGGCCTAGAGTACAAGGTGAATATCTAAATACGCCTATTAACTAGTAATTGGCTTACACCTCCTCCTTTCTCCGTACGCTTAGGTCCGCGCAATCGACGTCAGCATCAACGAGCAAAAAGAGCCTTGGTTCCTCAAGATTAATCCCAATGGCCGACTTCCCGCAGTTACAGATAAATGGACCGACGGGTCCGACATTCACGTCTTTGAAAGTGGCGCTATCCTGCAGTATCTCGTGGATCGTTATGATAAAGATAACAGAGTCTCATATTCCAGGGACTCTAAAGAGATATGGGAGGTAAACAGCTGGGTAAGAACTGCCATTGTCATTTGCATTTAAAAGAAAGAATTGATAAATGACTAATTCTCATTTTTAAGCTTCACTGGCAGATAGGTGGCGTCGGCCCTATGCAAGGACAAGCAAAACATTTCATCAGTAAGTTTCATTCACATCTCTATACTCCATCGGCTTAAAGAAGCCTATATATATCTAAATTGTATACCGCCTAGATGCTGCGCCGGAAAAGAACCAATACAGCATCGACCGCTACATCAACGAGACCCGCCGTCTCTACTCCGTCATGGAATCTCAGCTCGCAAAGTCTACTTCGGGCTTCCTCGTCGGCAACCGCGTTACCATTGCTGACTGCGCCCTCTTTGGGTGGGTTCTCGATCGCGGTAAATACTTTCGTTCTTTCCTTCTTTCCTCTATCTCGTCATCCTTAGAGCTTTTTACTTTTCCTTCTTTTAAGCATTGCGATTTGTAGTCATCTCTTTTCTCCCCCTTTCTCTTAAGCACTTGACTAATTAAAAGAGCTCTTCAGACTACACGGGAATCTCGCTAGACAAGTTCCCGCACATCGACAAGTGGCTCAGGACGCTTTCCCAGCGTCCAGCCTTCCAGAAGGGTCGGCAAGTGCCTTAAAATAGCCAGCGTTTGAGGATGGCAAAGTAGAACGCCTGAGAATAAGAGAAGAGGACAACTCTTGTGAAGTGAGACCAATCAGGAGTTGCATCTCACATAACCAGTGTATAGTAAACTCGCCAGTCGCTTCATAAATAATGAGGAACAAACACGGGAATATCCCATTTCAAGGGTAGCTCCTTCAAATATCAGGAATGAAGTGTTCGGATTAGCTCTAGTTAAACTAAAGAAGAAAAAGAAAAAATTGTAGAGCTAGCCGTAGCATATAACAAGCCAGCTCCGGGAATCTCAGCTATTCTAACAGCAAAAAACAAGAAAATATATATGACAAAGAAAGAGGATAAGGCACGCGCAATGAGACCGGTCAGTGAGAATGGGGAAAAGAGGATTGAATTAGTTAAAAGCAATATTGTGAAAATAGAAGGCAGAGAGAGGAAAATAAAGAAAACAAGATGCCGACACATGCCAACCAAAACCACCTTTTGTGTCGCGTCCATTCTTTTTTCCACGTCAACTCCTTCACACACCGCCAGCTCAGCTCGCTTCGCTTTGCTCCTCTTTGAATCCTTTACGCCACGCTATGGAAAAGACAAATAATAGTAGAAATTACTTGAGAGAGAAAAAAAAAACACGAGTGGCGTGCTATATATGTGAGCCGAAGTGAAGCAACGAGGTTTTTTTGTTTTTGAATTTGAGAGGCTTCATATAAAATAAGCATTCGACACGTGGTGTTACAGAAGAAGCAAATAAACACGCAAGATAACAGACAATCCGATTCCAATTCCTTTTTTAAAAAAAAAATTTGATACCATAATCTTATGAATCTGCCGTCAAGTATTGTTTGCTTCAAAATCGCCACCTGGGCTTAAGATCTTTCGGCTCGGGAGGGTTGTCGCTATACTTGCGAGAAGTGAACCGGCTAAATATGGGCAGTGGGCTTGATCCACCCCTAGAATCTGGCCTTCTTGGCATTGGCAGCAAGCTTTGCCGTCGAGACGAAGCCAACGAGCTGCTAGGGCGGCTGTTTTGGGTGTCCAGGTTCAAGGTTGAAACATTGGGCTGCGCGTTGGAACGACGAGACGGCGTTTGCTTGAACAGGCTTGATTGCGAATAAGGCCCGGGAGAGGTAAGACGCTCACGGAATGAAAGTCGGGAGTGGCCTGTCCTGGACCAAGATCTGGGGAATGACTCTGACATGGGGGATTCTGAGCCGGCCCGTGTAAGAGAGCTTCGAGGGGTGGGCAACTTGGAGGTAGATAGCGGCGTAAGAGCCGACGTCGACCTTACGGGCGCAGGCGTCCTGTGCGAGGTGTGGCCACCTTCGACTTCTAAATTATTGGCAGAAGAGTTCCATCTTGGTCGGTGCCCCATGGTCGAGGCAGGTCGTAGAGTCGAGGCGGATGCTGAAGGGGGATAGTAGGAGAGCCTAGAAGGAGTCTTCTTGCCAAGTTTCGAGACAGGGGCAGGCAATGATGAGTCCCTTCGGCTAGAGGACGAGGACATGAGACTAGAGGAGCTTGCGTTGGGAGATCGAAGCTGGTTTACACCTTGTTTCCGTGCGGGCGTGCGTGGGTCGCGGCCCATGTTTGGCATAATCACAGACGAAGGGGGAGAGCTTCCTGGAGTTTCCATGCCGCTGCCGTTGGTGGACCTGTCGTTGGAGAGCATACTGGAGATGGAATCTCGTAGCTTCTGGTTCTTTCTCTCTGCGTAGATATCCTCGAGAATGGCATCCATGTCTCCCATATCAAGCTTCAAAGACTCCCATCGCGTTTGCAGTTCTGTATGGAGACGCAAAATCTCGCCATTGACGGTCAACCGGTCTTTGACACCCTTGTCAATGATAGACAAAACTCGCCCAATAGCGGGACCGTAATGTGTCTTCTTGGCTTCGTAGCTCTCAATCTTTTTGGCAATGGAAGGTTGGTTCGTCAAATGCATGCCGGAATCAAGAGCTTCCCTTAGCTTCATCAGAGACCGTTCCACAGACTCGTGCATCTTCTGAGCCTGTCGTCCCGCACCGCGGAAGACAATGACCCATCTGTCTTCCCCGAGCTCTTTACGAAGAGACTCTGCATCCTTTTCAAGCTTCTTGTAACTCCCATCAAGGCCATCGTGTCGCATATCCAGCTCTTCACATGCGGTAGGAAATGCATGCTTCGCCCTTTGTTCAAAGACGGACAGTCGCATAGGGAGAAAATCTAGAGATGCTCTCAAAGGCTGCATTCTAGCGAAAAGGGCGAGCAGGCTAGAATCATCTTGAGACATGGCCGTATTGCCTGGTGCGTTGGGAGTAAGTGGCAACGCAAGACTGAGGCGATTCGGCGGCTGCAGCCGTGCGGCTGAGAGGGGATTGTCTTCAACAATAGTCTCCAGGTCACCAATGTCGACATTGTCGCCGTTTGCGGCAACGGCAAGGCTCTTGTGCCGACGCTCTTCCATCTCAAAGACGAGCCGCGAAAGTTCATCCATCTCGGTCTGTATGTCGCCCAGTACGCTGTTCCATAGTTCTTCCCATTCCATGGCAATCTCCACCTGGTTTCGCACGCTCTGCAGAGTGCGCTTGATCCGAGCCCATTCGTCTGCAATCGCCTCCATCTGGGTAACGGCTCGTCTGAGGTCGTCGGTCGACGCGTCAGCAATATCAGGCCGGTTTTGCAGTTCATCAATGGCGTTAACATAGGCGTTGATGAGATGCTCGAACCGACTGATGGCGTTTTCAACTTCTTCCAAGCCCTCACGGCCACCAGCTGCAGCCCACTCTACGTCATCTTCACTATCCAGTCCGGCAACGACTTCCTGGGCCTTGGAAATCCAGCTGCGAATTTGTTCGGCAGCATTGATGAGAGCCTTGGAAGCCACCGGTGCCGTTGGGATTGCCGAAACCTTGCTAGAGAGTGCATCTGCATCAGGAATACCGAGCATGGTTAGCTGAGCTAGCTGATTAGCAAATGACACTCGTGAGAGAGTGTATATTGACCCAGGTCGATTGTGGCTCGGCGTAAAGTATGAGTTCATGTCTGGCGTGAAATCATTGAAGGCGAGTATTTCGGGAGGCGCTGTTTCTACAAGTGGCGATTCCTTGGGCGGAGGAGTTGGAGGGGATGGGGAATATGCGGGGGAATAGGAAAGAGAATTTGAAGGGGAGTGTGAAGGGGAAGCGGCGGGAGGCGAGGAAGGTAAAGGCGGATATTCTTTGGGAGAAGGTGGACGCGTAATTCGTTCCAGGTGCTCGCGTCGAGTATCCAGAGTGACCTTGGTTCCGTTACCGTTCAAGTGGTCGGGCAACCGATACTTTTGCGTGTCCATGGCGAGAGATTTAGCGAGGGCGTCTTGGAGGGAATCTGGTTCCTGGATATCAGGCAGTTCGGGTAGCTGATAGGAATCAGCAATGGGAGACATGGATAAGTCGTCCGACTGGCTCAGCGATCTGCTATGCGGAGGAGGGGGGCCAATGCCTTTCCAGGCACGGCCGCGGCGAGAGATGATGGCGGTGACGGATCCTGCCTGGTGTCTCTCGTCGAGCTGGCGGAGCTGCTCTTCGTCAAGTCGACCGATGGAATCGATGTGCTGCTTCTCGATGACTGCTCGCTTGGCTGCTGCTTCAAGGCCCAGAGCCTTTAGGCGAGCAGCAAGACCAGGCGATGTCTTTCGAAATGCGGCAACCAGGACTTCATGCGACGGCTCGGCTTCCAGAAGAGTGCTGCTTCGGCTGCGATATTTGCTGGAGGTGGTGCTGGTGGTAGGGCTCAGAGTAAGGTCGGCAGCATCGACTGGAATCGCGTCGTGGCAGATGCTACCGTTGCCGTTATTGGCCCTGGTGATGCTGTCAATATTGTGATTGTTGTTAGTGTCGCCGTTATCGATACTCGCGCTGCCGTTGGTCCTCGGTGTTGACAGATCTGCAGTCGCTGTGTGATGTGAGGGGGTGGATGCGACCGTGGCGGCAAGCGTGGCAGTAGCTGCAGCTGAAGCCGAAGCTGAAGCTGGAACTGGAGCTGCTCCTGAAGCCGGAGCAGCGCAAGGGGTGGCGGGCGACTGAGCGGTTTGGACGGTTTGGCCAGTGAATTTTTGCAAGTCTATGTCCCGCTCGGCTGCATCATGGCTCGGCTGCTGCTCGACGTCGCGGTTCGGACTCAGACCCACGTCAGCGTCTGGTGAGCTCTCGTTGGCCGGCGTCGAGTCGCGGTCTGGGCTGCCACTGGCGACAGCAGAATGGCTGGTGGTCATGGGCCGCAGGTGATCGCTGGGGTTCAGTTGAACCCGCCCGCCCACAGGATCGCAGGGAACTCAGAGTCGTCTGCGGCGTAGCAAGCGGCGCGCTAGTGGAGGGCCCAGGTGCCTTTCAGTGGACGGCGGCCCTGAACGGCGCCCTGCTGGCTGTGCAGCGGCGCAGTGGGTGGGAGGGGCAAGTCGACGGAAGTGTGTTGAATGCACGCAGGTAGGGGCCGGCTCGAGATTGGTTACCGAAGCCGCCACCCGTGAGGCGTCCAGTTGCTGATAAGCCGTTGTTGCGGTCCTCGTTTGGAATGAATTTTTCTGCTATCTCGCGACGGCCCAATCAAGACGCGCAGCCTGCTCGAAAACTCCCGACGGTGCCGCCGTGCTGCCAACCCAAGCGAACCTCGAAGTCTGCGCAAGTGGGCTGGTATGTGCGGATGCACGGTAGGGTTCGCTGGATGCCTGCGCTGGCCGCGTCGCTGGAGACCCAGCTTTTGGCTGCGCTGACCAGGAGAGTGGGCGAAAGAGCGGATATTCTACCCGCAGACGATGCGGTGCTGGTGGAGAGTGCTGCAAAGAGACGGCAGCTCGCAGGAGACAGCTATCAGCGGTAATAATAGGGCAGTAGCTAGGACAATAAAGCTTGGGCAGGGCCCTGACGTCGTCGGAGGATTATGCGGCTGCCAGGTCGTCAACCCGCAGTCACAGAGCGTGGTGTTTGTCGTCGTCGATAGGAATCAAGTCGGGCTCGGGTGGTGATCTCCTGGAAGAAGGCTCGCGTTGGGCCTTGGCCATGAGCTGGCTGAATCAAGTAAGGCCCGCGTACCGGGGTTGTTCGACTCCCAGGCTGGCTGGAGTCTGGGTCAGGTAAAAAAGGCTGAAAATAGTCGAGTACAGCGAGAAGTCGGCAGAAGAAGAGAGGGCGGAGGCGGCGAGCTCGAAAGCCAAAATGGGAGATTGGACGAATAGGCCAAGCACAGATTGCTCGAGTGCTGTTCTATGGTGAATCAAAAAAGGGGGCTGAAGGAGAGGGAAACTGTGGTCAGGAGGGGTGCAAGAGGAAGAAGCTCAAGTTAATTAACGGGAGCTACTTGTTCCTGAGCTAAGAGGGAGAGACGATCTACTAGAAGAGGTACCCTCATCTCCCTCCGGGGGTACTTTTTTTTCTTTTGGGTGTTATGACCTCTTGACTTGATTTAGATGCGCCAAACAAACTTGCACATTTATTGGTACTACGTAGATGGATGACTGGATGTGGCATGGGGGGCCACGTATAGCCAACGGGACAATGAAATAAGAAAGATATTTTTAAAAGCCCGTGAGCTCGACAAATGGGATCCTGGCGAAGCTGCTCTCTGTGTGCCTTACAAGTGGACAGCCCTGGACATGTACCTTGCTGTGATGGCCGAGGTACCTTGCTGGGACTAGCCCGTACCTGAGGTATGGAGCGTGTTACTGGAAATGGAATCTCTATGTTATCACAGCTGCCTATCAAAGGCTTGTGCGCAACTAAGAGCCCGCAAAGGATAGGTAGATCAACGGCCAGATGTGACACATGTGAGAGCGATGCGGCGCTGTGCACTGGTGGTAGAAGATGCCACCTTTCAGCGCGCCTAATAATGGCACTCGCTGAGACAATGCATGGGACGAGGCAAGGGCGAGAAGCGATGGAATGGTGATAGGGACGGATTTGGGCTAGTTGCCGGCTAGGCAATAACTGGCGTGCTGCAAATTGCTTTGTTGGGGACCAGTTCCAGCGGCGGCGCACGCTAATGCTGCCACTGCCGTTCCTCCACAGCACAGCTTCATGTTCCCTCCAGCACTGCAGCACTGCAAGCGTGCAGCTCCGGCGCTGCGTTGCACTGGATGCGCGCTAGCATTAGAGCCATGTCGGGCTAATTAGCGCATCCCCACCGCTGACACGGGAGCTTCCACAGCACTTCCACAGGCATCCCGCTTCTGGCAGCTTCAAACCACTTGAAACGCTGTGAAATCTCCACGGCTCCATGCCTGTCCGGGCCGCCTCCACCAGGGCGTCCTGCAGCCATTTTCTGCATTATCAACCTGGCAACATTAGCTTGCCGTCCGATATGCCCAGGTGCCTGCGATGCTGTCTTAATTCCATGCTGGGGTCACGAGGGCTCTGGGATGGCAGAAACGGCGGGGGAGACAATCAAGATACCTGCCACTACTACGACGGAGCAGCTACTGGATATGGCCGCTGGCTGTAATTTTACTTTGCCGAGCTCATGGTGTTAGTAGCAGCCTGGTATCTGGTTGGTAGCTAGCCCCGAGGTAAATTGCCTTGGTCCATATAATTGGATGGCCAATCTCTCTGCTCGTACATGATGCGACGCGACGGCCCGCGCTATTCGTCGGTGGCTACCTCTGAGGTACATGTCCTGGGACAGCTCGAAAGCGAGCAGCTATTCTCGGCGGGCTTATGATGCAATAGCAATACGAATCATATGTACGGAGCACTCTATGATAAGCATGGGTATACAAGGTTGTATTTTCACATCGGCTTTTGGGCATCATCAAGCAGCTAATGAAGAGTGACAGTTGGGTCGACGTCGTTGTACGGCACTCACGGTACGTACCTTCTACTAAAGGAGGCTTGCGCTCTGAAACCTTGACGGCACATTTCAGCTCTCCTCTACACCAATCTATCTACTACAACCTCAACCACAGCTTGATTGCTTATCCTCCATTGGTGCTCCGTACAGCTTCCATGCTTTTTTGATGCCTTCTTGCCAGACTTGGACACTGCCGTTTCTGCTCTTTTCAGTTCCGCCCGACTCTGTGGAGATCACAATTATGCACAGCACGTTGTCCTGGGATATGATACCAGCGGCAAGGAACCGTGGGAATCGCGATGACAGCGAAAGAAGTGATCCGTCACTTTTGCCTGGGGCGCACATGGGCTTACCTGGTCGTTGGCCTCTAGCAGTACGAGTAAGCCAGGAAGAGACCTGGCAGGCCCTGGGACCCTGGCAATGGGAACCTGGGAGATTTCCCAGCCATGGACCATCATCAAATCGGCGACAGCTGCGAGTACGAAGCATCCGGTGATATCATCAGTTCAGGTTACCAATTACCAGCCAACCAGTATCTGTGCACCCGCTGTCTGTTCCAGACATGAAGCGCCGAGACTGTGCTGCGCCCGTGTCCAGTAGACATCAATGATTGAATTATGGAGCGATTGAGGCGCTGCCGGCGCTGTGGGTGCTGTGCTGTGCTCTCCTGTGCCGTGACATTATTCAGGCAACGCCACGATAGCGGCAAGCTTCAACATGTGCGCTCTCGGACTTGGCGATGGCGCCAAATTGCACGCTGCGCGGAGATGGAAGGACCTAATACCACCTTCCAATGCACTAATTAATGCACAGGTAAGCATCCATCATAGCTCGACGGGCTGCGTGAACCGGCGCACGCCAAAAACCACACGCCAGAAAATGGAGGCCGTTTCAAGTCGTTGCCCCCCCGGACAACACCAAAACACGCAACGCAATTTCCCATCTCCACGTCTCCTCCCACCAACTATGTTTGGCGGCCAGAGCCACAGCCCCTGAGTCCGCCGCCTCGGATCTTCAGCACCAGCCCAAGGCAGCCCTACCGTTTGCTTTCTGTCGCTCTTTTTGCTCTGTCCAGTCCCTTCCGCCGCTTGTGCTCCGTATCCACCACGCTATTGCTGACTGACCTCTGCTTGTTAATGGCAGCTACCTAGCAGCCATTTTGCCGTCACTTCAATCTGTTATATCCTCCCCCAGTCCGGTGCACGCGACTTGGACAAGCTGCATCAGGCACGCCGGCTTAAGTGAACCGTCTTCAATCCTCCATTCTCTTCCGGCAGCGCTCGCTTCTCTTCTCCTTCGACAACCACTCTGCTCTTTCTCGGAGCCGCACAGGAGACGACGAACAAGGATCCGCTTCCCCTCTCCTGCGAGCAAGCACCAGCACTAGAGAGACACACGCAGGACTCCTCCAGCTTCAACTCCAGCTTCAACTCCGCAAACCTCTGCTTCTCTCTCTTGCTGCCACCACCGCCTGTATTCCGTCTTTGCTTCTGCCTCCTACGCCATGTCTGCCGAAACCGAGAACCGTCCGCACTCTCCCGACGCCGCTCCGTCGCATGCCATCGGCGCAAAGCCTGAGCCGGTCCGCGCTCTCTCGGCGGCTTCCACCACATCCCGGGGATCCAGCACCGATGCCAACTCCCGAGACTCGCTGGGCAGCGAGCTGTCCTCTCGAATGTCCAACTCGTCTCGCATGTCCACCATGTCGATGCAGTCCGTGTCCGGGAGGTCGTCTTCCAGGACCCGACGCCGGGGCTTCATGCGGCCTCAAGGCACCGACTTTGCGAAAAGTGCAAAGTCCCGCGAGAGCGTGATGAACCTAGGCAGCATTGCACACCTGCAATACTACTTTGCCCGAACAGGCCTGCTTGATGGCAAAGGCGGGCAACTAGCCCGTAAGAAGCAGCCACGAGCGACACTTGATCTGGCAGTCTTGGAGGGCACAGCACCTATGATGGTACCGACACCCACGTCTGGGGGATTCGACGTGGACCCCTCTTTTGTTTCCATGGGCAGCAGCCCAGACTTCTCTGGACAAGGCTTCATCACTGACAATGTCATGGAATCTCCCACGGGACTGGGCGAGATGGACGACTTTTCCGACGACTTCGAGGAGGACCCTGACGTTCTCCCACCCACAGTCAGCACATACAACCACAGGCAAAAGGTCGTTCCCAAGCCTCCAACGGTAGCGGAGCTAAAGGCAGAGCTAGAGACGGCGCTGCGAGATGCGCTCAAGGTCCTCAAGGAAGCAAAAGCCCAAAAAGCAGGGTCACTTCATGCGGCTACCGATGCGCCTCAGATCAACATGCCTGCAGAAAACACCCAGAGCTGGTACGAGCTACAAGGCATGAATATCCTCGACTTCCTGACCCTGGCCATCCGCGCCGCCAAGAACTTCTATACAGCCCACGAACTGCCTGACCGGTTGGACTCGATCAAGTCGGAAAAACAGATCCGGACAGATCTTTTGGGCGTAATGGAGGTGCTGAAGCAGATGGCCATCAGAAACTTCAAGGACGGCATGAAAAACGAAGAGATTGACACCATGATTGCCTGGATCAACAGTGTTTTTGACATCCTCAAGAAGGAGGCGGCCATCGAAGCAACGGAACAGGCCGAGCGACAGAGCTGGTCGTGGATGACGGGCGACTGGACAGGCAAAGAGCTGGAGCGTGAACGACTATTCCTTCTTTCCATGGACCCCGACGACGAACCGCTGCCCGAGTGGACGCCGGCTTCCGGCGCCGCTGAACAACCGACACCGTTCCTAGAAGCCATGCAAAACGGACTTAGACTTGTGAGGCTGCACAACGCCGCAGTCAAGAAATCCAGGAGGCGATTCGGAGCGATCCCAACCTTCCACGTCGACACGCAGAAGCCATACCGAAGCGCCGACAACCTCCGATACTGGGCCAAGGCTGCCGAGCTGCGCTTCGAGTGCAAGATCTCCATCGACGCTCTGGGCATTGTATACAACAATGGCCCCCAAGTCTGGCTAGATTTTGAAGCGGCCATCCTAAAGTGGTGCGCGCATGTGAGGGAAGAAATTACAAACGAGTTGGTCTAAGACCCTTGTACTTGCTTTTTGCGCCTTCCTCTTCTTTTCACTTCTTTTTTTAATCTTGTTTTAATAATCGTTTTAATACGTGCATCTGCTCATACGCTTGTTATTAATACAGCAGAAAAAAGGCCTTCTCCCTCTCTGACGAATTCACGTTTCGATACACAGACATTTGACTGGAGACTTTTTTTCAACACTCTTTTTTCTGCTGGAACATATGGCCTATCGCTATCTTGGCCAACAACTCTTTTTTTCTAAGCCTATTCTTTTTTATTATTGATTCTTTCAGGACATATACATACAGATACATCGAGACAGAGGGACCGGTTTTCTCTCACTGAGACAAAGATTGACGCTATATCACTACCAAGGACACGCATTTTTTTTTTTTACTTTGTTCCCTCTCTCTCTTAATTTTCGGTCTCTATTTTCCTTACTATATTTTTTCATACTTCTTTTTAGCCTGTCGAATTTACATCGCTGGCGAGATTTCTTCATTATTCCAACACATTTTTTTAACCCTTCTTACTTGGCCCAACAGATTTTCTTTTCTCTTCTTTATGTATTCTCACTATAAACATACACCTTTTTTATTTTTGTCAATTGGGTCGAGAGGAAGAACAAGAACTAAACAAAAAGACAAAAAAAAAACACATCAAACAGAATGCTGTACAAGTATGGATGGATGGATAGATGGAAAGGAAGGGAGAAATTGAATAGCGCGACGAGCCTGACCTCAGAATGCTATATGTCAACGTCAACATATAAATACCCCCGTGGCGTGAGCGCAGGCGCAGGCGCAGAAGAAGGATATCTTGTTTCGATAACGGTGGGGAGGACAGAATGGTAGACTGAGAATGAATAAAATTGGTTATTCATGGTAACAAATTGTTTTGCTACATCAATGATTTTACTTTGAGATCTTTTGTGCGTACAAAAAGCACGCAGGTGTTTTTGTGGTATATTTGTTTTTGCTAAACTACTACCATCCAAGCCAAAAATAACGCCGTAATTACTATACTACCTAACATGTTAAAACACAACACAAGAAGAGAAGTTCCTAGCTATCCTCAAAAAATTAAAATCCAACAGATAATCCATCGTTTACTCAATGTCCACCTTTCGCACCTCCATCCACTCCTTCTCCACCTTTGGCACCGACACAATCAGCACTCCCTCCTCCATCTTGGCCGTGATGCCAGATCCATCCACCTCCACATCCTGGTCTTCTTCGGATACACCCGCGGGAGGCAGCTTGACCTCCTTCTCGAAAAGGCCAACCCTGCGCTCCTGGACTGACGTGAGAGTCTGCAGGAATGCTTCATCTCCAGGCCGGTGGACGACGCCGGCGATGCGGAGGGTGCGGGACTGAGGGTTCCAGGTCACGCCAATATGCTCCTTCTTTGCGCCGGGAAGGGCGGCGTGGAGGATGAAAGCAGTGGGAGTGTTGAAGATGTCAATGGGTGGAGTGAAGCTGTCGTCGGCCTCGTCAGACTGCTGTTGTTGCTCTTGGCGGGTGTTCTCTCCATCAGCAGGGCGATAGTACCGCTCAGCCTGTTCGCGCAAATTCTGGAAGAAAGGGTGGTCCATGAAGCCGCGCATCATGCCGGGGAAGTCAAAGGGAGGATGCGGGGGAGGGGGAGGGTGGTGAGGACCTCCGGGGCCGCCAGCGCCGGGACCTCCGCCGAAGGGACCTCCGAAGCCTCGGCGCCATCCGCCGCGACGGCCTCCACAGCGGCCGCCTCGACCGTGGCTGTGAGCGTGAGCGTGAGCATGGCCCCAGCCGCCACGACCTCGAGGGCCGCCGCCGCGTCCGCCTCGTCGACCGGAGGGATCTTCGGTGGAGTAGAAGGGAGGAGGGACACCTCCGTGGTTATGGTCTTCGCCATCGTCGCTTTCCGAGGGAGTGACTTCCGCTGGGTCAGGGAAGTCCTCTCCTTCATGCGCGGTGTCTGGAGAGGTATCGTGGCTGCCCTTTTCATTTTCAGCCTCTCTGGAAGCTGTGTTCGCCTGAGCACTTCCCGCATTCACATTGTCGCTGTAAGACTCCGGATGGTCACGATAACGAGGCGAGCGATTGCGTCTGCCGCGTCCTCCGCGGCGTCCACTCCAGTCGGCCTCATCGGGGTAATCATCTGGGTTGAACGAAAAAGGCGGAGGTGGAGGCGGGTGTGGACCTCCGAATGGGAAAGGGAACGGCGGCGCTGCGTTGCCGGTGTGATCTACACCGGCACCTGGCTGGCGAGGAGGAGCAGGGCCGTACCAGGAATGGAAAATGTCCCATGGGTTGTCATAATGGGGTGCCATGATGAGTTGTTGTTTGAAACGAGTTGTAAAAGGAATCAATGTAAAAAGGATGTGTATAGGTGTAAGTTATACTATTGTGTATAAGGCAAAGTTATGGCCCGCTAGAATTATCTCGTGGTTATCATCCAACTTTATATCTAGCAGTAGACTAAAAAGCAAGAATAAAGCCGCGTAACCCAGTTAATGACTGTTTTAGGCAGTCATTCAGCCAGCTCAGCAAACTACGTACGCCGTCGATACCCAACGAAGCAGAGAGAAACAGGAGAGCGGCAAATTAAGCGAGTGCGCGTACAGTATGGAAACCGTTCATACAGCTAGCTTCTTAACTTGTAAGAAATGATGGAAAAGATGGTGTGACGAGCCACGCGTCATCCATTGACCAGCTGCGTGGCAAAAGCCCCCAGAAAGCTACAGCTTTGCACTAAGAAGTGGAAGCTGGAGAAGAAACACGCACTACGGGCGTCGGTTCCGGACCCGAGGCAAGCCCGAGTCGGACGGTCGGTGAGCGGTGGCGCCGTGGAGGACGTGCGGCTGGGTGGGTGCCTGGAAGAGGGAGTTTAATCTTTTTTCGGAGGATTTAGATTGTCAATTTGGCATGTGAAATCTAGAGTTTTTAATATGGATGATTTTGGCTTGATTGGTCCGCTGGTTTCTGCAGCTATAACGTTCTCGTCATCTGATAAGCTTGGCCGTGTAAGTCAGTGTTGGGCATACTATTACTTAACCCATCTACAACACACGTGGTCATGACTTCATAATAAATCTTGAAAAGAAAATATGTTTCAAGGGCAATTCTTAAATGGAAATGTGAGTTAATAAACGACTACTAAAAGAAAAAGCCAGACTTGTTATCCGCAGTTAACACTCATTTTGACTTAGGGTAGTCAAATAAAGCCAAGTGTGCAACATGTCAACGCTGATGCGTGTTTACAAACCAGTATAGTACAGGAGTGAAAAAAAAAGATGTTGAGTGCAAACAATTGAGTGGGATGATCCAATTAAAACATAGAAGGCATCGTCATTTCACTCCCAGAGCCTGCGCACATGTTTGCTTACATGCTACGACTCTCCTCCCGTCCTTATTAACTTAACAACCATTTGAATCCCTCCTCCGAATCCTGAGTGTGCTTCTCAGTACTCTTCAAATCCGGAAACATCCCCCAAAACGCATGCGGCATTCCAGGGTAAATGTCCCTCTTAGTAGGCACCCCGTCATCCTGGAATACTTGCTCCATAACCAAGCCGCAGTCCCGGACAGCATCGAATCCGCATATTTGGAAATACGTCTTGGGAATGCCCTTGTGAGTAGGGAATGCCAATGGGAAAGCCATTGGACTAAGTGGATCGGACTGATATGATTCTGTTTAGAAGAAAGGGTCAGCAGCGTAATTTGGTATTGATAGAGCAATTAAGCAACTTACTCCAGATAAATTCCACCGATGACCTGGACAGGACTGGGGCGTCGGCATTCTGCTCAAGGCTGATGAACCGATCCTTGTACTTTTCAGGCACGGTCTGATGGTTCACGCCTCCTGGCATCGCCGCATAGATTCCTGTCAAAGAAGGAGACACCTTGTCATTCACATACAGATGAGCTGCGATTACGGCCATCTCGCCCCCTGAGCTTTCACCTCCCACCAAGAATCCTTTCTCTGGGTCGATACCCAAAGATTTTACGTTTTCGGCAGTCTAATAAGTCAATAGGTTATTGTTAGCACAGAATGAACCGCTATGCGATTCGCATGCTCAGCATTCAGCTTACCCATTTGAGCGCGTCAAAGGCATCTTCAATTGGCGCTGGAAACACATGCTCAGGGGCAAGTCGATAATCAACATCCACCACAATGCCCCCAAGCTTTGCAAACAACGCACAGAGCCAAGCCTCCGTGTCTAAATCCCCAACTGTGAATCCTCCTCCGTGGAAGACGACAAGCCCCGGTCGTCCCTCAGATGAGCCACCCCTGGGTCTGTAGACGCGGCCGCCAACGCTGCGGTTGTCTCGCACCGGGATGCTGATGTCCTCTTGGGTGTACGGGAGAGTGGCCGGATCAGCTTTCGGAGTTGCGTCCTTTGCGGCTTGCAGCATAGCACGAATTTGAGGGATATCGGTGACTGTGCCCCAGGGTATCAAAAGGGGTGACCCCGAATTGAGAATCTTCATACGACCAGATCGAGTGTTAGCTGCATGAATTAATGCACCACATCCAAACCATTTTTATAAAAGCTACTGAAAAGAGGCCGAAAAGGACTCACAGGCTCAAACTCGGGATTTACTTTGCTCAGCGCACGAATTTCTTCAATGGTAAGCATTTTGGCTGAAAAAAAGTATCATGCAATGAAAAGGTGAATTGGTTGGATTGGTGAAAACAATTATTATTTTGATTTGCGAGTGAATTCAAGCAGTGCTATAGAACAAGACACAAGAGACTATTTATAAAGTGCGTAGAGATATTTGAATGCCTTCTTCACGATCAACTATTCCAAACCCTCGTATTTCCTATTCGTGGAAGTTCAATAAAAATGAGCCCTGCATTTCAACATTCCCAATTGGGAAAGTTTTAGAGCGAAAACACCTCAAGCCAGGCTACAAACCACGCACTAACCGTCGAGACAATGGGCGTCTGGTGCTGCTAATTTCGGGGATAATATCTCCTGGTGAAGAACCCTCTACGGCAAGTAAGACAACTTAAACAGCTGCCCGGAGCTAAGATCGGATCCGCATACGGGTAGCTGTTTGCTGAAGATGCAGGGGTTCGCCGGGAGTGGAGACCGAAACCTCGACGGCTCTATCACATTGTTCGTTTGGTCAGCTCGCAAGGCTTTCTATATTCAAGAGAACCAGCCTCAGTATTAGACAGAATTTACCACTAATAGACAGCTATTATGGGGAGCTCCAGATAACGAAAAGAAGCCGGCGAGGAATACCCAGAGACTTGAGATGACGTCAGCGGAAAACTTGCTCAAGTGCGCCAACCTTCCGCGCCTGCACGTGAGATTCCAGCGCCATGATTGGCCCAATTGGCTGCTTAGAAATGCAAATGCGAATCTGGCGTGACCCATTTCAACGTCCATCGCTATCCTTCAGAAAGAGAGAGCAAATAAATCAGAAATAGGATGAAACAGGCCTCGCCGTTATAGAAACTACCATCACACACCACATTCCATTTGCGCTACGACCAACGAGCACCATGGACGCTAAACCTGCCACTTTCTGTACGTCAATTTGCTTCCAATTCTTCTTCTGCGCAAAGCTAATTGTCATGTGAAAAATATAGCCTTGGCCTCTGCGCCTGTTGCGTCTCCCGCAAAGTCCGAGAGTGCTTCCAAGCCCAAGGTCAGCTTTTCTTTGCTGTCTCACTTTTGGCATTGAGGAAACTCCAGTACTAATGGTCAAACAGCCCTGCTGCGTATGCAAGGATGAGAAAGCAAAGCGTGATGAGTGTATGCTTTTCTCAACAGCCAAGAACCCTGCTGCCGACTGCGTATCCCTCGTCGACCAATACAAGAGCTGCATGCAGGGCTTCGGTTTCAGCGTATAATTTTGAGGGTCTTCAGCTTGGTGTAGGACTATGTACATTATAAACTTTTAGACGATCAAAAGTACGGCGCTCAATTCTTCTCCGCTCTTCAACGATTCCATCATTTCGTCAGATACGATGCAGCCGTGGGCTTTGCCGAGGTTGTGATACGATTGCCGCTGTTGGGTGGTTGCAGACAATGCTGGGTGATCACCTTCTCCAGAGCTTTTTCAGCTTCCTTCTCTCTTCCTTCGTAACCAGCCAGCATCATATCTTCTAATTCGCCCACCATTCTTTGTGCATTGGTTACTATTCCCACCATCTGGACTTCAATCTTCTCCCTTCTATCGAATAACCGGATCAACTCTGCTTCACAGTATTGACGCCTGTCTTTACTACAAGAAAAGGAGTCAGCCTAGTCCGGAACGTGAGGTAATCATATGCTCCTTTACCGCTGGCGTTGTAGGTCTTCTTGCCAAGCAATGACCTTTGCTCGTAATTCCGCGAGGGCAGCATCAAAGTCGGCTGTCACTACCTTGATATTCTCATCTCGATGTTTTTTAAGCTGCTCTGTATCAATGCCTTGATCTTTCTCGTCTCTCTAGCAACTAGCTGGGAATATCCATCGACATACTCTGAGAAATCGCGCTTGCGCCTCCAAGGCAGCGTCGCCTGGGTCAGAAGAGTCGCTGGAGCGAGAACGAGGATTTTTCCTGGGCATCGCGCAAACGTCTGATTGAAAATTTCCTTGTTCGAGAGAAGACAAAGATGCGATTTTATTGCTGAGAAAGGTTGAGTTCGAAAAGTTAATTGGGCTAGGCTTGACCTGTTCTGAGAAAGCCATCGTAGACGATTAAATATGTTCAGGGGGAAGGCGCGAACTAGGTACTACATACAGGGTTGCACACTTGAGGAAGGAGCATGTTCGGGCTCAAACTCCAAATCATCAGCGTATCTTCTATTAAGTTAATTCAATTGAGTTAGAAGAAGAAAAATAGAGAAAAGCACAAGACAAATACTGCATCGCATAGATTTGCATCTTTGAATTCAAATATTATCTTACAGCATCCTGCTAGAAAGCTGACTTTTAATCTACCTTGACAAAGCAATGTCGTCTATCCTCAAAATCATCTTCACCGTCTCGGCCGCCAGCTCAATGGCGCTTGTGCTGACCAAGAGTGGCTGCAATACGTTCTCCTTGGAGATGTTGATGTTGACACCTCCGGATTTGATACTGACACCAGCATTCTTCTCGCCCATCTCGTGTCGATGTCTCAGGTCAGTGACGACCTTGATGCTGTTCAGACCGGCGTTCTCAGCCAGCGTTGTGGGGATAACCTCCATGGCATCTGCAAAGGCCTTCCAGCAGATGGCCTCGGTGCCGGTCAGACTGCGAGCCTGCTTGGACAGCTGGGCTGCAATCTCAATCTCAGGAGCACCACCACCGGCAATCAAGGCCTTCTTCTTGACAAGACATCGGAGCACACAAAGAGCGTCGTGAAGACTTCGCTCTGCCTCCGCCAGAATCAGTGAGTTGGCACCACGCACAACCACAGACACGGTCTTGCCAGTAGCCTTGGCTCCGGTGACTTTGACCATACGGGATCCGGATGATTGGACTTCCTCAACGAGATCCGCAGATCCAAGCTTATCCTCAGTGAAGGAGTCAATATCGGCAATAGGCTTGCAACCAGTAGACTTGCAGATGAACTCGACTTCGTCTCGCTCGATGTCCTTGATGGCCATGATGCCAAGCTTAGCCAGGAAGTGTAGGGAAAGGTCGTTGACGGCGTCTCGAAGGATAGATTTCTGGATCAAGATGACGTTGCACTTGGCCTTCTTAATCTTCTTGGCCATGTTCAGGAGGTACAACCGCTCCTCCTTGACAATCTTGTCCATCTGGCGGTAGTCGTTGACTTGGATCGTGTTTTCCATCTTTGCAGTAACAATTAGTGCATATCCTTGACAAAGTGATGGTGTGATGCCCATATAGACTTACATCAGGCTTGGGGGGGCTGAGCTGGAACTGAATAAGACCAATGCGAGCCTTCTCCATTCTGAAGGGGCCACCAGCGTTCTTCAGGACTGGCTGTGTAAGGACCAGACCATCCACCAGCTCACTGTCCTCAATCGTTCCTCCTACTCTTCTAATGATACGAATGTTGTTCAGGTCCACATTCTCAGCAGTCTTGACATCGATCGTCTTAGTAATAGCGTTGACGGCCATGGGGCCAAGGAGGTTTGAGTACTGGGAAACGATCTTAGATGACAGAGATGTGTTGGCAGCCTGGAGAAGGGAAGCGTTGTCGGTTAGTGAAATGGGCTGGGACATCTCGTGTAGAACTTCGACGGCGGCGGCGGATGCTCTTTGGAAGGACTCGGAAATGACTGAGGGGTGGATGCCCTTGGACAGCAATCGGTCAGCAGCGCCGAGAAGGCTGCCGCAGATGACAACGACGGAGGTTGTTCCATCACCAGCCTCGACATCTTGGGCTCCGGAGAGGTTAACCAGCATCTTTGCTGTCGGGTGCATGACCGACATGCTCTTGAGCATTGTGTTTCCGTCATTGGTAATGATTGTTTCCCCTTTTCCGCTTCGGATCATCTTGTCCATGCCTCGAGGGCCGAGAGACGTTCGGATCGCATCGGCGACAGCTAAATTCGTGTAAGCAAGTTAAGACGCTCTGTCATGTTTCGATCGAATAAACAAACCTCTGGCAGCGACAATGTTGGACGATCGCACCGCCATGGGCTTCTCCTTGTCCTGTGTCCATGGTTAGCGGGGCAGCTCAGGAGCTCAACGTGCAGCTTTGGGAGTCTACCTTGAAGGCGGCATTGTTGGTGTTGCCGCTGGAAACAGCCGGTGCAGACATTTTGGAGATTCTGCGTTACTTCCTGTTCAATGCAAAAAAAACCTCCGAAAAGTCTGGATCACGGCGAGCTTTGTAAGGAAGCAAGATCGCGGTTCTGGCAGCCTGGTTGACATCCCACCTTGTCTGCCCTACTCCGCCATATCAAGTAACGGAAATTTTGGAGTCGGCGCCAGAGATAATCCATGCTCCGGCGGTACCTTCCCCCCTGCCCCAGCAGCTGCTATTGGCCCAAACCAGCCTAGCTCGGCAGGGTCCCAGCGACAGGCGCCAATGCGCTGAGCTCAAGGCAACTGAGATTACGGAATGCTTCTATGACCTTCATCAGCCACCATATCCAACGCGCATCACCACCAGCGAAACACTTGCACCCTCATTTTGACCACACGATTGCTCTGGTATAGCTCATATCAACCCACATTCTTTCTTCCGTCAGCCCCGAACTCCTCTTCTTTACGGACATTGTGTCCAGTTTGCAGCTCCCACCATGGTAAGCAAGCCAGCTGTGCACGATAACTGCTGGCTATTACTAACTGCACAAGCCTTCTGCAACCGGTCAAGATTGGGAGAAGTACTCGAAGAAATTCGCAGACGATGAGATAGAAGAAAAGAAGATTACCCCTCTCACAGATGAGTACGGCTTGTCTCCCGCTGGCATGTTTGCTTAGAGCTGGTAGGAGACTAACCCAAAGCTAGGGATATCCAAGTCCTCAAGACATACGGCGCCGCCCCATATGCGTCAACCATCTCAAAGCTCGAGAAACAGATCAAGGAGAAGCAACAGAGTGTAGATGAGAAGATTGGTATCAAAGTATGGGAAGCAACCGCCCACGATGAATCTGCACCTGTCTAATGCATTGCCATAGGAATCCGACACCGGTCTCGCACCACCACACTTATGGGATGTCGCCGCCGATCGGCAACGAATGTCTGAAGAGCAGCCTTTCCAGGTGGCTCGATGCACGAAGATAATCGCTGACGAAAAGGGAGACGAGTCCAAGAGCAAGTACGTCATCAACGTCAAACAAATAGCAAAGTTTGTCGTTCAGCTTGGCGACCGCGTCAGTCCCACGGATATCGAGGAGGGTATGCGAGTTGGTGTGGACCGAAACAAATACCAGATTATGTTGCCGCTGCCTCCGAAAATCGATGCCAGCGTCACCATGATGACTGTTGAGGAGAAGCCAGACGTTACCTACGGCGATGTTGGTGGCTGCAAAGAGCAAGTCGAGAAGCTACGAGAAGTCGTCGAGATGCCCTTGCTCTCGCCGGAGAGATTCTCAAACCTTGGTATCGACCCTCCCAAGGGTGCACTGCTCTACGGCCCCCCGGGAACCGGCAAGACTCTCTGCGCCAGAGCTGTTGCAAACAGAACAGATGCTACCTTTATCCGAGTTATTGGCAGCGAGCTTGTTCAAAAGTACGTTGGTGAAGGTGCTCGAATGGTTCGAGAGCTGTTCGAGATGGCCCGGACAAAGAAAGCGTGTATCATCTTCTTTGACGAAATCGATGCTGTCGGTGGTGCACGATTCGACGACGGTGCCGGTGGTGACAATGAGGTTCAGCGAACCATGTTGGAGCTCATCACCCAGCTGGATGGATTCAACGCCCGAGGAAACATCAAAGTCATGTTCGCCACCAACAGACCGTCAACGCTTGACCCTGCCCTGATGCGACCTGGACGAATTGACCGCAAGATTGAGTTTTCACTTCCCGATCTCGAGGGCCGAGCCAACATCCTCCGAATTCACGCCAAGAGCATGTCCGTCGAGCGAGATATCCGATGGGAGCTCATCTCTCGTCTCTGCCCTAACGCTACTGGTGCTGAGCTGAGGAGTGTATGTACCGAGGCCGGCATGTTTGCCATCCGAGCACGGAGAAAGGTGGCATCGGAGAAGGATTTCTTGGATGCGGTAGACAAGGTCATCAAGGGCAACCTCAAGTTCAACTCAACAGCGACGTACATGCAGTACAACTAAATAGCTTATCTTTTAATATCATTGATGTATGAATATGGACCAAACTCGGGTGGTGGGGTGTATGCAGATGCATGCCTAATCTTCTTGTTCCATAAAGGGAATAGAGACTAGCGTTTACGAGAGGTTTGACCTGCTGCTGCTGTAGAAAGAGTGATGTGACACCATCTACGGACATGAAAATCCATTTACCTAACAGAAGATTGTCTGCCCATTTGGCTTATAGTAGACCCTGGAGCTTTGGTAATTTGGTTGTGAAGCCTCCCCCTACTAGACAACTGCTACCAGTGATTATTGTTCAGCAAATCTCTTATCTATTTCGCTTTCTTAAATTGGTATATGTCATAATCAAAATCTAGCCAAACGCTTAGAAAAGCCATGTAAAAATTCCTTCTTACTATTCCATTAAGTGACCTGTTCGTAACACCTTTCCAATATGATGCCGTACCATGGCCCTTTAGATAAAATATATAACATGTAAAGTGAAAATCAGATATTAAGTGTGACTGATGGATAAAAACTAAAATGCTAAAATGAAACGCGTAAAAATGAAATCACATGCTGCTCTCTCCTGCCTAGTGGTATCTACCTAGCATAATTGTTTGCCTACTATTTGTCCCTAATTCCCTATTCCTGATATCTCAATAAATTTCCCAATGAATGACAAAAGTAAAATGAAAACAGATCCATGCGCTATATGTAGTAATTAAAAGCCGTTATAAGTCATCGTGACGGGTGAAATATTTTGTCGTTCTTGTATTGTTGTAGCTGGATGTTGTGAAATGTTGTGACGTGAAGATATGTCCTGTTTTTATGCCGTGTCCATGTTGGATAGACAGCCCAGGCAGACGACTTCGCCTTCGGCGCCTTCTTCAACACAGCAGCGGCTACATATCATGGCGTGATGAGCGCTGCTATTGGCAGAACCTTTGTTGAATGTGTCCCGTCGTTCATTATCATCGTGTTGTGGCGCGTGGATGTTCGTAACTGGAGACATGTCGCATTCGTCCGCGTCGTTCATATTAAAAGATTGCTCAACATATTCTTCATCTTCTTTTCCAAATGGAGGCGTATGAGGGTCCTTTTGTCTTCGGCATTCGCGAATGCAAATGAAGCAAGTTTGTTCCTGGCACGATTGACATCTGGCGAAGGAGTCGAGGTCGGATTTCTTGGTCGGTCGGCGGTGGCAAACGTGGCAAGGCATAATGGTCATGCCGCCGATCTTTACAGGCCCTTTACAGGCATCATGAGCGCCTTGTGATGTCGTTACCAGCAGCTCGCGAGGGGAGGCGTTTCGCCAATGTGAAGAGTGCGTAGTGGTGTCGTTATCGTCGTGAATCGCTCGGAGTCGTTTCGTCGGAGGCAGCGTCTTGCGCGCGGATATGCCGTCCGCGGCGCTTTCCAGCCCTGTCTGTTGGTTCAAAACGTGAAAGACGGCGGCGTTGGAGCCGGGATGCGAGAATCGGAGAGCTTCACTGCCGTCGTGATCCCATTTGCGTTTTGTTGTCGCACGATGAACATCATCGCCAACATAGGGCATGGTTGGATGAGAATTGGCTTTTCAGTTTGGCCCTGATGGAGGTGCTGCGGCAGCTGATGCTACTGCAGTTGTAAGGGAGACGACCACTCCAATGAAATGCGATGACAGGAGAGATCGGTAGTGAATGTATAGGTAGGTAGGTATATGCTCGGTAGAAAAGAACGTCTCGTAGATTGGTAGGTAGTCGGTAGAAAAGTCGCAATAGCGGCTCCCGGAGATGATTCGCACCGAGCTCGTGTCGCTGACTCTCTGGAAAACAAAAATGAAATAGTTCAGAGGTAGAAAGGAATGTCTAGATATCCAAAAAGAGATCATGTAACTTTTCGCCCCAGTCAATTTTCGGGACCTGGATGGCCCTGTTGATCCAGCTTAATCACCGGGTGAATTTCGATCGAGGTGACGGGCTGGGGCGATTTTATTGGAGGGTTGGATTTATATGGGGCGTAGTCGGCTGGAGATGGTTCTCGATATAGCTGGTACTCTACCACTATCGTAAGCTGCATTTGCAGTCGTGCCATATTGCAAAATAATTCTATTCTTGAACCTTGATTGAGTTATATCATAGGTCAGTACAATTTCATTTTACAGTCAGTTGCTCAAATATGCCCTAGTAGACGAACTTCCATGTTCACCCTGGCCAGGACTGTTTCGCTTACGTCTGCAGCTCCGTAAGGAAAAGAGGAAAGGAGCTTGCCTTGGACATTCAATCAATGGTAGAGGAACATATAAATTTTACTCTACCATTGACTAGATACACGCTTTTCTATCGACAACATGTGAATTCGACTCCTAAGAATATGCTACCAGATATCATACTTCCCTATAGTACCTACCTAGGAATATATAAATGTAGCACGTCATTTGTGTTGATATGAACATTGGAGATAGACAACGTTCAAATCACTTCACGACGAGCAAAGCTGCCCACCCATGGCACATCTCACATGCCGGACTCAATAGGTAGATAATATAAAACTAGTATTGAAACGGCATCTAATGTTTTTCTTAAAAGCTCCAAGGCAGCCAACCCAGCCACCAACATCCATACATACATGCATCACGTCTTGACAAAAACGACCAGTCCATTTTATCCGCCTCCGCCAGCACAAAAGAGCTTTTTTTTCTAAGGAGGAAACTAGTAGTAGTATACACAGGCACACAGGGAATTATAACTTCCTTCATCGGCGGACCTTGGTCTCCGCGGGAGGATCGTAGGCAAGCTTTCTGGACTTCAGCCAGGCCCACTTGTATCGCTTGACCCAGACGCTGAGAGCCCACAGAGCCGAGGTGGCAACCAGAACCTTCATGCCCATCTTCTTGCGCTCGTCCATCTCAGGCTCGGCAGCCCAGTTGAGGAACTCGACAACATCCTTGGCCATCTGGGAGGTGGAGGCAGGGGTACCATCCTCGTACTCGACGAGGCCGTCGTACAGAACACGAGCCATAGCAATACCGGTACCGGGGAAGTAAGGGTTGAAGTTCATGCCGGGGGCAACGGTGACACCAGCAGGAGGCTCCTCGGGGTAACCGGTGAGCAAGCTGAAGATGTAGTCACAGCCACCGTGGCGGGCCTTGACGATCAAGCTCAGATCCGGGGGAAGAGCACCGTTGTTGGCAAATCGAGCAGCCTCGTCGTTCTTGTAGGGAGCAGGAATGTAGTCGGCCAGCTTTCCAGGTCGCATGGGGATCTCGCCCTGCTCATCGGGTTCGTCGGGGTACTCGTTCTCCTCGGCCAAAGCCTTGGCCTCGTCGACAGTCAGGACGGCACCGACGAGAGTTCGGTAGGGGACTCGAGAGAGGGAGTGGCAGCTGGCGCAGACCTCACGGTAGACCTGGAAACCACGACGAAGACTGTATTAAAGAGTCGCATGTAAGCAATCGAGCCTGCTAAAAAAAGCCAGTTCTTGGAAACAGAGGGTTTATCTTACGCCTGGTGATCAAAGGTCTTGAAGAACTGCTCGTGAACCCAAGGGTAGTGAGTGGCATGAAGACTGTAATAATATCCGTCAGCAATTGATCATTTAGACAAGAGCAAGCCGTAGAAGTATTTTTATGCCGCATCGGGCACACATGACCGTCGACGAGATGCGCAGTACTCTTGTACCGGAAGAGGGAGAGAAGTCACATACCCTTCCTCAGCAGGGGCCGAGGCAAAGGCCACGGGTCCATAGAGGTGGTAGTACCAGGCCAGAGAACCGGCGGCGAGGGTGGTGGAAGCAATAGCGGCGATGTTGAGGCGCGCGGGAGAAGCTTCGGCACCAGAGCTTGTTGAAGCAGCACGCTAGAACACAAGTCAGCTCCAGCCATTCCCAAGAAACAAATCCAGCAAGTTCCCAGTGCAATTGAAATGCTCCCAGCTCGACAGCCTGCTGTTGTCGTTGCAGCCGCTCAGCCCTCGGCAGGGCCTCGAGCAAAGCCGGTGGGGAGCAGCATCGTAGATTTTCGAGCTTGTGGCAGGTTTTCGGGGCCACCCACCTTGGAGACGTTCACGGCGGCATTTCGAAGCCCATTGAGGGTGCGCGCCGGGCGCAGACACGACCTTGCCAGCATAATTGGCAAGCTGTACCGAAGCCGCAGGGGGTGAGCCGCAATCAAAAGTGAGGACGGCGATGTATCGATCTCGGGTCGGGGCGTTCAAAAGGGCTCAGCGGGAGAAGTTGATAGAGAAAATCCATCGTTCCGAAATGGGCCGACGCTGATTGGCCAAGTCACGTGCGCATGGGATGTTGCTCGGAATGGTGGGGAGCAGCGAAGCCGCCCGGAGTGCGAGGGTGCAGCTGGACTTTAGCGGACGCGACAGCTGTGCGACAGCTGTCTGCCACCTGGCGGCGTTCGCTAATGCGCGCTGGTCAAACCCGCAGCCACCCCCTGTAGCGAGTTTCATCCAGCCTTGTCCGCTGCAGGTTGCCAGGCAAACCAGGACCTTTCTTCGTGCCCCGCCCCCACCATTGTCAAAACAATCCGTCAATCATTTCGCACCTCGATACGAAGCCTCACCCCAAAAAAATTACCAGCAAGGCTCGCAGCCTCGATCTTGCTTCTCGCGCGTCCCGCCTTCTTATATATCTGCTAGACATCATCATACGCATTAGCTTCCGACTTTGTGCTCGCCTGCAAAATGGCCTCCTCCAAGATCTTCTCCCTCGAGGGCAAGGGGCTCAAGCTCGACACCGCCGAAGACATCGAGCCTCACCTCGCCCCCCTTCGCGCGCTGGATGACGTCGAAGAAGTGCGATTCTGGGGCAACACGCTCGGCGTTGGCGCTTGCCAGCGTCTTGGTGAGGTTCTGTCCACCAAGAAGAGCCTCAAGGTATGCGCCCACCCGAAACCGCCCCCTTATTAGTCCAGTACCCTCACATCTAACGAGCCCAGTCCGCCAACTTTGCCGACCTTTTCACCGGCCGACTGCTGAACGAGATCCCAGCTGGCATTTCCGCCATCCTCACCGCTGTCCTGAACCACCCCAACCTTACCACCGTCAACCTCAACGACAATGCCTTCGGCCTCAACACTCAAGCCCCGCTTGTGGCTTTTCTCTCCTCCCACGTGCCCCTTCAACACCTCCATCTGAACAACAACGGCCTCGGTCCCCACGCCGGTATCCTTGTCGCCGATGCGCTTTCAGAACTCCACACCAAGAAGGAGGCGGCCCGCAAGGAGGGCAAGGAGGTGCCTTACCTCGAGACCGTCATCTGTGGCCGAAACCGACTTGAGAACGGCAGCATGGCCGCCTGGGCCAAAGCCTACAGCCTTCACAATAAAATCAAGGAGATCAAGATGGTGCAGAATGGAATCCGACAGGAGGGAATCTCTCGTCTGCTCAGCGAGGGTCTCAACCACGCCAGCGAGCTCAAGATTCTTGATCTACAGGACAACACCTTTACCATCATGGGAGCCAGGGCTCTTGCCAAGGTTGTGCCCACATGGGCGGATCTGCAGGAGCTCGGTGTTGGCGACTCTCTGCTGAGTGCCAAGGGCAGCCTGTTGCTGGCCGACGCCCTGTCACAGGGAAAGAACAAGAAGCTGGAGACTCTGCGACTGCAGTACAACGACATCAAGGCCGAGGGCGTCAAGCAGCTGGCTAGATCTGCAAAGGCAGCTCTCCCTGCGCTAAGACGCATCGAGCTTAACGGCAACAAGTTTACTGAAGACGACGAGTCCATCCTCAGCCTGCAAGAACTCCTCGAGGAGCGAAAAGAGAAATATGCCGGAGATATTGTCATTGAGGATGAGTGGGGTGTCGACAGCCTCAGCGATCTTGAAGAAGAGGAAAGCGAAGAGGAGGAGGAAAGCGAGGAAGAGGAAGAGGAGGATGTGGAAGTTGAAGAGAAGGCCGAGAAGCTCATCAAGGATGCCGAGGAGGCCCAAAAGCAGCCCGTTGCGCAGCGCAAGGACGCGGACGTGGACGATCTGGCATCGCAATTGCAGAAGACTCAGCTATAAATTTTGTTGCGAAAATTATCTTGTCTTCCTGTTCTTGGTATTCTTGGTTCCCTTTCCTGCTCTCTTCCACAAGTTGGTTTATTATTTAGACGTTTCATTCCACATACACCTTACTCGCACTCAAATTTCCACTCTTGCACATAGCACTCTTGGCACACACTTCACAAAAGGTTGTTTCTTTCACTACATTACTCAATGAAAAAAAGTCGATACCCCCCTTTAGAAGTCGGTGGTTCTTTCATAGTCTCATGCATATGTAAAATAATCCAGTTAGAGGAGAATGTTACCTATGTATCGTCTAGTCATCTCGGTCCATCACAGTATATAACACGTTTCAGCACAAGCAGCACAAGCAGCACCGGCTACACACATCACATCCCATATGTAATTACAATTGTAAAACTGGTAAAATGTTATATTTACTGACATCTTCTTTCTAAATGCGGGCAATACTTGTGGCATTTGTAATTTTTTTCTTGGCAACATGGCCTCTACAAACGGGGAATGGGATGGTTGAAAAGGGGGTAAGGAGTAAGGAGTAAAAAAATAGGGGGGAAAAGACATACATACCTTGGCCGACATCACAGCATCCTCTAGGCTCTCTGTAGAAAAACCTGTTAGCCATCACTATATCCATCACTGGAAGGTTTATAGGGGAGTTGAATGGGTGTAAATGGAGATAAGAGGTTAGTAACAGAATAACAAAGACTTGGGGAGAGAGAGAAACAGAAGAGTAATTAGAACATGAGCTCAAAAAATGTGCTCCAAAACCAGCCCCCTTCCAAAGTAATTTTCTTCTCCTCATCCCTTGTAATTTTGAAAGAGAAACCAAGACAAATGCGTATAGACATAATAATTCCTACCATCCATGAGTGACAAAAACAATAAACTAGCATGCTGCAAAGCTAGGCTGGACTGCTATCTAACGGCGCCTGCGCATGTGCCGGCTATGACGACGCTTTACTATATTGTATGCGCTAATCATTACATATCCATAACATCCACCGCCTGATTCACCCTCTGCTGTTCAAACGCGCCATATTGTTCAGCCATAGCCAGCTGTAATTGGTGTCGTGCGTAGTCGGCTCCGAGATAGACGGGGTCTGTAGAAGGCACGTAGCTTGGACCGCCAATAGAGGTTCCAAAGTGGCTGTATGCGTCTCTTGGACGAGAAACAGACTCCTCACGCTCTCGCTCTCGTCGCATAATCTCTTCATATCCAGACAGCATGTAAGGCTCGCTCTCCTGGCTGGCTTGATGGACCCATGTGCTATTTGAGTTCTGGACTGTCGTGCCGTCTAAGCTCATGACATTGTTAAGCTGCTGCTGCTTCTCATAACGCAGCTGAGCCAAGTGCTCCTCTTGGTCCATCGTCGTGCTGCTCCAAGCAAGAGCAGGGATGTCTCCACCACTAGTAGGAGGACAGATACTCCAAAGCTCAACCAATCGCCTCTTTTGGGTGATGTCTGCTATGCGGAAAAGCTGTAGCTGTGAGGGCGTGAGAGTGGAGGGATCAACGCCGTGATTCCGTAATATCGTCTCGGATGAAACGACCTCAGTCTGTGGCGGCTCTGATGAGCGTCTCTGTGAGTCTGACTGCTGGAGCTGAGGCTTCGCAATGTGAGCCGAGTGGTTATAGTGCTGTGATACGGAATAAACAATCTGCTGAGAGGGAATAGCCTCTTCCTGGGGCATTTCCTTGGGAACAGCCTCTGGGTTGAAAGTCATGTTTCGCGAGAAGAGCGCTGCAAGATCATCGTGGATCTGCATGTTCGTCTGCAGTGATACCATGTTGCTGCAATGCAAAGAGTTAGCGCCGTAGTCTGCAAGATGAGAGGGTGTATGCATGTATTCAAGTACACGGCCGAGGTTGATGACCAATAAGATGTAGGTACCTGGTGATTTGTGCTGACTATGCTGTAACGAGTTTATAAAAGTAAAAGCGACTTGGGAATACCTGCTGGTGGTCTAAGTAGGTAGTTCAACTGTCCCACGAGATATTGCAGCGTTGTATTGCTCCAGGAATAGAAACTTGGAGTGCGTGAATCCTCCGATTTGGGGGTGACGTTTTATTAGTTGGGTATCAACGAGGACAAGAAACGAGACGAGACGAGACGAGACGCTTGCGACGGGGGGCTCGAGCTGTGGCAGCAGGAAAAGAAATCTTGGGGTGATTATATTGCACTACACTAAGATAAAGTCAAGACGAAGTGAAGTCGAGAGAGTTTTCGAGAAGAAGAACGCGAGATCGAAAAGTATCCCGAGTTCTCCTTTTTTATTTTAAATCGTTCGTGCCTGGAAGCGGATACTACTGCGTGCTAGCAGAAGATTGGGCTGCGGGATCAGATGCCAGGGTCGCCGGCCAAACGAGGGGTCGAGAGACAACGCAGCGTCTAGCGGAAACTATCGGTGCGTTGGCGATGAGCGTTTCAACCTGAAATAGTGGAGGCCAGTGCAGATGGAAAGCAGACGCAAGAGGCACGGCAGCGATGCAGGCGGGGCCAGAAGCACGGAAGACGCAGAGATGCAGCGAAGACTGGTCCGGTGAGGTTGAAGTAAAGAAGAAGACAGACAGCAGTACCTACTCTGCGTTGGGTATATATACGGGGAGAATCAGCGGCTGCTGCCCACTTATAGTAAGTCGCTGTCATACAAGGTTCCAGTTGCAATTCCTAGGCGCTCATCCTGGGGGCATTCAGGCATGTATCCCGCCTATCTGATGTGTCTGATGTGCAAAACGAACTGAAAAACCGTTGGGGGGCCAGCCACCACCAATGTGTCACTGCTATGTGGATAGCGCCCTTTTCTGACGGAAACGAGAGGCGCGAGGGGGGAACAAGCAGGTCATGAGGGAAGGTTCCACGATGGGCGTGACGCAAGACACTTTTGGGCCGCCTTTGGGCATCATCCGTACGGGGGACACGATCGGTGGGGGAATGGACGTGGAAGGGCCTGGGAGAGAGGCGATGGCGGCGAGTAGCGGGTACCAGGTCAGACTGTAGACGTTACAAGCATTTACAAGCAAATGACCGCTGATATGCTGGTCAAAATCATCTTTCCGAGCAATGTTAAAGTGCATGTATGTACTTATAAACGACTCGCATGCTGCTATGCTATGCCGCCGCTCTCTCGCTAACGGCCCCCTAGCTTGCAGTAGGTTGCCTGGACTATGTTAGCAATACGGAGGTTTAATGAATGGCATGACCTGGAGCGGACGGCGTGGCAAAAAAGCCTCCTTTTATCGCCCATCGCCTCGTCTTAATATAGTCGATAGTCTGGGAGTAAAATGAATGACGGAAAGTGGCATTTCGTTTCTCAGGCTAAAGAAATACTAGCATCTGCTGCTAATTACTAGCGATATAAGAAAATATGCCGGCACGCAAACGACAATAAAGGTTGCATCCATTGCAAGCCCAAAGTCATCACCATGCACTGAATCCCACACTCCATCCCACGCTCGCTTCCCGGGGGGGGGGGGGAAGGCAAATACGGAAATAGCCAGCTCGCATTTGGTGCCGAGGTCAAGCTGAGGCTTCCTCGAATATGTTCAGGGTAAATCCATTTGTAAAGCAGAGCCAGCTGTAGTGGTCAAAATATTCCAAGCCAGTGACATCCATCGTTAGGTCGTTGAATCCTCCTAAACATAAACAGACAAGAAAGGAGAATCATGGCTTCATTCTCACGTACAGATTACCCAATAAACCATCGACACCGAGCCATCCTATCCTCTCATGAATAGCGCCATTGGTCGACGCCCCCAAAATCTCCATCCGCTCTCCCGCACAGCTGCCAATTTGCCATGCAGGGATCGTCCCAGCGAGACGGGAATGCACCAGATGTGGCGGTGCCAATTGCGGGATGTGACCAAGCCACTCCGTCATGCCACTCTTCACCAGCCACAGCAGCTATCAGCCACACTGCTCTCTGTGGCTTGTCTCTCTTTTCTAGAATCTGCGCGCCTCAGGCACCAGTGCGTCCAGCCTTGTGCGGGCGATTGCAACTACGCAGCTCTCAGGCTGCCTGGTGCTGGAGCTCCAAGCCAACGCCCGCCGAAATCGACATCTCGACTCTCACCAAACGCCCCTCCAACCACCGATTGACCTTTGACAGCATCTTTGTCTTTTTTTTAAACACCCACGAATCTCACAGGCTGGTCAAATCCTCAAACAGAGCTCCGAAGCAATCATGGTAAACAGTAACCCCCCGCATTTGCTACTGCTATCTGCTGTCATAGCTTAGTAGCTGGCAAGCTTGAGTCTATCTGAGCGGCGGGCTAATGCAGAACATGCACTTCAATAGACGTCGATCGGCACGGGCTATGATCTCCTCAACTCCATCTTCTCGCCTGATGGTCGAAACTTTCAGGTCGAATATGCCGTCAAGGCGGTAGAGAACGGCGGCACCTCAATCGGCATCCGGTGCAAGGACGGCATCGTCCTGGCCGTCGAGAAGATTGTCGCATCCAAGCTGCAGAAGGCCAATGCAAACAAGAGAATTGCCAGCGTTGACAGCCACGTCGGAGCAGTACGTGCACTGCCCTTGTATCCGTATCCCCTTACAGTGCTCTATAATGCCCACCACAATGCTTACACGCCTTCAAGGTTTACTCAGGCATGATCCCCGATGGACGCCACTTCGTCGACCGAGCCCGAGATGAAGCCCAGAGCTGGCGCCAGAACTTCAAGACTCCCATCCCCACAGCCGACCTCGCCTCCCGCATGGGCGGCTACCTCCAGGCATACACCATGTACGGCTCTGTCCGTCCCTTCGGCATCACCGCCATCATTGGTGGCGTCGACACCTCAGAAGAGACCCCCGTAGACGGCGAGGTCGGCTCAGGGCCGGCGGTCGGTGCCGGCGGCAAGGTTCCCGGCAAGCACGGCGGTCCTTTCCTTTACATGATCGAGCCCAGCGGCCTATACTGGGGATACTACGGTGCGGCGACGGGCAAGGGCAGACAAGCTGCAAAGGCTGAGCTGGAGAAGCTGGACCTACCGGCTGGTAACATCACCATCCACGAGGCAGTCAAACAGGCCGCGAGAATCATCTACATCGCCCACAAGGATAACAAGGACAAGGAGTTTGAGCTGGAGATGACCTGGATTAGCACAGTAGACGGCCCTACCAAGGGACGGCATGTGGAGGTGCCCAAGGAGCTGAGAGAAGAGGCTGAGAGATTAGCGCGGGCAGAGGACGAGTCTGATGACGAGGAGGAGGAAGAAAAGAAGGACGATGACAACAAGATGGAAGAGTAAATAAAGTAGGTTAATCTTGTGGGGGGGAGGTGTTTGGAACAAATGCATTATCCACGACGGGAAAGGCTTATTATAGAGTAAAAGCTTTTTCCCTGGGTGAAAATGTCCATATTAAAGACTCAGTCCTGGGACCTTTCCCCCTCTCCTCTGTTCTATTCTTTTGCATTTCTTTTGAACGTATTATGACAATCCTGCTCTATACTAATTTTCCTTGTTTATCTCTTCTTTTACAGCTACGTACATGGGTATCAATTCCGCCCCTGAGAAGCATGGTTCTGGCACCAGTTGTTCCAGTCCGCGAAAAAAGAGTTCTGCAGCTTGGCCTCGCCCAAGACCCAATCCGACTGTGTCTTAGCATACACTGCCGCCGCCTGCTTCACCAGCTCCTTGTCCGTGGCGAACATGGCCGAAGCTACAATCAGACTGGCGGCGCTGGCAGCCTTGGCATACGCGTGCGCGTTGTCCTTGCCTGCCTCTTCGTGCACATCCACCAGAACGGAGAGCAGCTGTTCAGCATCGTAGACTGGCGCAGCAGCGGCCTCAGTTTCAGTGGTATCCTTGTTACCACCGGCGCCGCTCCTCGCCTTCTTCAAGCCCTTTTGATAATTGAGAATAATCTCACAGGCACGGCTAGCCAGCGTCTTTGTGCTCGTCGTGCGCATGAGATCCAGCAGCGGAATGAGCAGAGAGAAAGCGAGCGGGCTGAGGACCTCGTTTTTGACGTAAATGTCGAGGAAGTCGAGGATGCGGTTCTTGAAGTTGACGACGGATTGCTTGGCATCCTTTTTCTGCTTCTTGCTGTCTGGACGGGCCTTTGCACGCTGTTTGAAGACCTCGGCGAGCTTGTCCTCGAGGGCGAACATTTGCGAGTCGGACATGTCGCCTTCATCGTCAGAGGATTCGGCTTCGGCGTCTTTGTCGAGGCGGTGGCTTTTGAGGATTTGACTTAGGGGCACGTCGATTTCGATGGGGCCTTCTTTTGCGTCTCCTTCTTCATCATCATCATCGTCATCATTCTCGTCCTCGTCGTCGTCATCATCTTCTTCCTCGTCTTCTTCGTCGTCGTCATCGCCTTCCTCTCCATCGGCATCTCCAATATCGACAAATTCCACATCAGAGTCAATCTCGATGTTGGAGATTTCTTCCACATCATCCTCATCCTCATCAGAAGAGCCTTCGCCATCGATATCCATACCATCGTCCTCTGTGTTAAACAGCTCCTTTTGGCCCTTGGTGCTCTCATTTGCTCCCAGGGGTCCAAATAGCAGTTCTAAGCCGCCAGCGGAGATTTGTGAGGTGAAAGCTTCAAATACTTGCTGAGATACCTGTCGCATCAACGACGAGGGGCGAGCCACCATGGATAATAATATTTCGACCAAGAACTCTGAACTTCCAGTATCGTCATCTCCGAGTTTGCCCTCCTGGAGCCTCTCGTGAAACTGGGCGAGATCATCAAGTACCTCCATCGCATCGGGATCTTGGTTATATAGTTGGAAGATGGAGATGGCATGAAGCATAGCCAGCCCCTGTGTTAAAGTCTTGTCGTTATCGGACTTTGTCTTCTGCTTCAGCAGTTTGTGCATTCTTGACAGCGCACTCTCTATGGCTGACTTGATCTCTTCAGACATAGTAACAGCACTTGAATCGATAGAGGCGACTCCCTGGCAGAAAGTAACGAAATCAGAGGTTTGACGAGTCAGCTTCGCAAGTGCAGTTTCTAATCTTGACCGAGCAAGCTCTTGAATCTGTTCTGTTAGAACGTCCTTTGGGATATCCTCCGGCTGAGAATAGGCAAGACGTGATAATTGCTGCAGTGTAGCGCTTAGAGAGGTGTTTTTGAGCCTGTCAGCTTGAGATTCTTTTCCACCTAGGGAAGCGCAGGCCCCCAGGACTTTTGAAAGATAGTCGATGTGAACTCTCAGGATAGTCTGGGCCTCGCTGACTTCTTGTTGTGACAGGCCAGCAATGGGGCTTTGGATAATCTTCAGGCATCCCTTATCGTTTTCCAGGTTGAAGTTTTGCAGGAGCCTATCGATCGTCTTTGTGTTGGTACGTTGATCAAAGTTGTAGATTCCATTTTTGGTCAAAAGATTCTCAAGCACGGGGACCAGATTGGAGGGCTGAGATGATACTGCGGCCTCGATGGCTTTTAGTGTCTTTATAGCCGCTCTATGTAGGTATCGATCCTCCTTTGCAGCCTGGTTCATGAGAGAAGTCATGAGATTCTTGCTGAATAAGATTTGCAATAGCGCAGGATGTGTCGCATAGCTCTCGAGGAATTTTTGGAAAACCGTGAAGCCCTTGAATTTTTGGCCATCGGTAGCCTGCTTGGAGAACAATCCATCTACTCTTGAGTTAGCTTCTACCTCACAAAACGTGTATGGGTTCAGCCTTACCATCAACGACTCGGCTCCAGAACTGAGCAAAGTCTTCAGCCTTTGAGTCCTCGGCCTTGAGATAATGATTGAGGATGAGGTCCCAGACAAAATGCAACTGAGCCGTCCAAGTAGCCTGTTTATTGTTTCGAGAGTTGCTAGAAGAGTCTTTGCTTGAATCGTTGAAGCTTTCCTTCAAGATAGCAGCCATATCACCAAGGTGTTTTTTGGCCAGAGGATGCTGCCAGGGCTTCACGTTGAGATTAGGGAATTGGCTGAGCGCAACCATCCAGACGGCAACTCCTTCAGGAGTCTTCGCCATTCCAACATTTGACAACTTCTCTAGCGTAACCTTGGCCTGAGCCTGGTCCATCTGCTGCAACGCCTGGACAAGCACCCAGCCGCATTGTGACTTTAACCACACTTTCTTGTTGCTCAGTTTCAACAGCTCGTCTAATATCGTGTTCCATCTCGAAGGTTCGGAAAATAAAATGCGGGCCTTAACAAAGCATTCAATACCAAACAATTGACCAAAGAAGATGTCACGCTCCTCCTGGCCGGGAATGTTGCCGACAATCTGAGCCTTCTCCAACAAGAACCCAAGCACCTTGTCGAACGTCAGCCCGCTGTATTTTTCTGCGCTCAGAGATTTCTCTCCAAACAGTTGGCTGAGGATTTCGGTGATGACCAGACTGAAGCCAATGCGCGAAGCATTGCGGCCGCTGGATAGTCCGCGAAACAGTCGTCGATCGAGATGTCTCTGCACTACCGCCTCAGCAACGCCGTCGCCGTCCAAGAGTCCAGATATAATGCAGTCGGCGGCCTCGATCCGGTCATTGTCGTCCTCGCTACCGAGATGTTCGTATAACAGGCCTTCGCGCTTTCTGTCTTCGATTGTGGGAGTTTCGACAAAGGGCGCCTTCTCCAACGGCGGCTTTGCGGCTGCGACGACAGGGACGACGGGGGAAGAAGGGGCGTTCTTGGCCTTTTTCTGTGCGTTTGAAGGCACAACGGGGGCCTCCTTGGTCCCGCGCTTCCGCTTGCTACCCATTGTGAACTTTGAAGAATGAAAAATTACAGCGTCAAATACTATGTGCCGTAGAGAACGACTTCCAGTATCTTGCGATTATAGATTAGAAAATTCCCAGATAACAAAATTCTGCCTATCGGCACCGCTTTTGGTCCCACCCATCAACCCCACAATTACCCGCATCAGAAGTACTACCTCTGTACATGTTTACTCGCACATTCTCTTGCTGCTATTATAAGAGCTTCTTCTTATACATGGTAGATACCTACCTTAGGTACTTTACGTGCTGTTCATCACGTTATCTAGATGCCAAATCGAACGGAGTATAATGGCAAATCCCAAGCCTTTCGCGCTATCAAGCTATTGCTACTAGCCCGTTAGAATATTGTTTGATCTTTATATATCTGACGCGCCGAGACCAGACACCAATTCATGCGCCGCTCCGCTGCCACCGTCAATGATGCACTAGGAGGTCGCTATCCTACACTTCGCAAGCGTTGTGGGGTATAACCACACAAGAATATCTCTGCTCTCTGTCGGCAGACTGCTGGTGATAGTGTTTGATAGTCGCATGATTATCGTGAAATCAGCAACCGAGCAAATTCATGGAGGCCTCAAATGTTTGACAATGCGATCCTGCGCGATGCCTTTTGCAGTTCATACACGTGACTTCGCGCTTGGTTGCTCTGGTTGCTGGATGAGATGCGGGGTATGGCTACTAAACGCGCGACGTCTTTGTTTACTTTGACGCGTGTACTGACATCGTATATCTTCTTTCTTACCTCCAGCTGCCCTATTCGTTTGGCGCTGGAGCTTAAGAAACAATCATCGTGTTCACAGGGTTTCTGAAACAGGTTTTATGAGTAGAGTTGCATTGTATCACGTTGTGCCCCTCTACAACGCCATCTTCATCCCGTAAGAGTATGGGTACATGTAAACAGCAATAGCAAGCTATGGCAAGGGTCGATGAGCCTTTTCCCTTTCCCTTGCAAGAGGGCGGAGATGTTGTTTCGGTCCTTGCCGCTTCAGGAATCGTCAAAGGATCCGCAACTATCGCGTGAGCTGAAGAGGGATTTCAGATGCTGGTAAAAGCGGCTTTGATTCCATGATTGGGTAAAGCAGAAGGAGCAAAATACGCTTAGATGACGTTCGCTTTCAGCCTTGCTAAAGTGCCTCGTTACAGGAGAAAGTAAACGAGACTTTCTGCTCAGGATCAATCAGCAATTTTTGTTATTTTCTGAGCGCACTTGCGGCTCCAACCGTTGCTACGGCACTTACACCAGCTTGAGTAAAGTCAATTTGCGCAAAGAAGGGGAGCTTAGAATACGATGGCTAAAAGCACCGTCCTTGCCGATCGTGGACAGCAAATTTGCTGCAAAACCCTCACTGCATCCACCCATCCACAGTCATTAGTCTTTGTGGCTCCCGTTGCCCGAAACCGTTGCCCAAGACACCGAGCTGCTACACTAAGAATTAGCGAAAGACAACAAGCCCTACGCTTTATGGGCCATCGGCGATTGTTCTGTGGGAAGCGAGCTCAATTGCCGTGCCTGTAAATCATCGCCAGTGCCGGTTAACTGATTGAGCGTGTTCTAGGGTTGTCAGTGGACCGCAAGAGGTATGACGTCCACGATCTGTTGGTGACAGCCCATAGCGACGAAATTAAGCGCGCTGGAATGGCTCACAACTGACGATTAAAATTTCAAGAGCGTGCCGTCACTCATACTCGTGTCAATGCAGATCCTGCCTAGGCAGAAAGCATAAGAAATCTCTTCACATGATCCGAGGCGCCCGGCCATATCCATACCGCTTCGTTTATCTAGCTAATATTGACAAGGTGCTTCTGTTTGCTGATGACGGTGTGGTAAGCGGAGTCTGAGCTTCTGAAGTTATTTCGTATGAGTATTGAGATGCGTTGGCGTGTAAGCAAGCTCCATGCCAACAAGCAACAAAGGAACAAAGAAAGTTGATCTAGCTATGTTATACTAGTGAGCTAAACATTATTTGGCGAGCTCCAATGAAGGCGAGCTGTGGCGTAGACGCTTTTAGTCCAAGCCAAGCCAACAAGGACGGGGGAGTCTTTAGCACGAAGCGCTCCGTTCCTCCTAAATCATGCATGTCTCAAGACAAAGCGGGCGAAGACTGAGGCAGGGATCGCTCTTTTCAAGAGGCAATGGTTGGTCCGCGTCTGCTCTCACGAGTCCTTTGTCAGGGAAACTGAGCACCCGACCCAACATACGAGACACGATCAACGACGATCTAGGGCAAAAACGGATCAATGTCTCTTCTTTCTAGGGTCTCTGGTAACGACGTTGATGTTTGCGGCATGAAAGGTGACCGGATCCGTACGAGCACGGAGCACCTTTTGATATCTGGCCGAGGTGAGCCAGTCAGCATCATTTTCGACGCCCGCAGCTCAAAAGCTTTTGAGGCTTGTAAGGGCGAGTAACAGCGCAGCACGCGTCTTACCTGTTGGTCAGCACATTTTGGAGGCCATCGCAAAGTCGAGGTACTTTGCTTGGTAGTATTCGATTGATGGCCATTCCTGGCCCAGCGTGTTTGCTGGGGTCTTGTTAGGTGCGGGACGTCACTTGCATCAGCTCATGTGCCTCTTCTGTGCATAAGCTTGAGGCTATTGTGGAGGCTTTAGTCGTCCCAAAGACTGGATATGGATACCTGAGAGTTAGCAAAACAAGCTGAGCAATACAGCTGGAATCCGTCCAGAAAGTCAGAACGACTGATGCTCGGCTCCAAGTCTGTTAACACTATGCAAGGCTACCTGGAAGAAGATGCCGGGTCGTACCAGAGTTGCGGAACAGGCCTGGCATCTCCAACCGCGCAGTCAAATGCTTAGACTCGGCCAGGTACTTGAACATTCGTCCATGCTTCGCATTATGAGATGCTTCAGATATGCTTCATACCTACCTAGACTTTTCCACCTAGTGCGAAGCCACAAGAGAAGATAATAATGCTGGAAAGTTTGTTGTGGCTATTCTTATTGGAGTGACTTCTCCAAAATGAACAATCATACATCAAAGCTTGATGTTTGCTCCCGCTATGGTGTACAGCCACGCACCAACTTTTGCAAATTGACATTTCGCATAACGCGGATCGTTGCTCTTACAAACAATACACGTCTTGTTTGTTTGCTAGTCTAGGGAAGCTCGCATTTAATTTCATACATCTGCCCTGCAGGTCCTGACTCTCATCGCAATGACAGTTTCTATCCCTCATAGCTGACTCGCTAGAATTAGAACTTTGTGTTCAATCACATAGGGATCCTGCAGACGTGCGGTTTAATGGCCAACTTTGCAATCCTCACCGCTTGACCGGTCGACTTGTCCTGGCAAGCTTGGAAGTGGCAGCGAATTGGACCATTCAGCAGCTCACATTTGAAGTAGAAGTAGCTGGTACCGCGAGTACATCTGCGAGTTGCAGCTCTAGGCCGGCTAAGCGCCCACTGAACACAGCGCCCCACCGCTCACTGAGCAACCACTGACGGCGCCCAAGGGTACGTGCACTCCTGCCAGGGCGCAAGGTCGCTAACTGGAGGCTAACCGTAACGGCATAGCTTAGAGCAGCTGAAGCTGTGCTGACGCCTGGGAATGGCCCGCTAGGAGTCTCGCAGCGCTGTGTTAGTGCCGCTGCCCGGGTACGTAGCAGTCGCCGGAGGTACCTCTCGTCGCCAAAAGCACGCTGAGCAGGCATAGCAGAGCAGGGCCATCGCGGTCCAAAACCCCCCTCACCCCCCCAAATCACCCCTAACAACGTCCAACTCCATCCCAAGCCGGGTTCCTGGTCCTGGCCCCGTTGGTGCAACGACCATTCAAAAAGCGCTGTGCCCTCGTCTGTTCTTCGCTTCCCTCTCCTTCACACCCGCGTGCCGCGAATTGAAGCATCGACAGCCAGATTAGAGGCGCCTCGCTCGCGAATCCGACCTCGCGTGGGCCAGCGAATAGACGACCGTGCCAGCTTCGCTGCTTGGGAAACGGCTTCTACAGGGTTCGGGCTGCACCAATCACCGAGAGCTCAATTAGGCAGAGACGGCAATTGTTTACCCCCGTCGACTTCTTCGAGATCCAACACAGATCTGGGTGAAAGAAATCACCTCTGGCGAAATTAAATCACGAAAAAACTCCATCGTCGATTTTGCAAGCTTCTGCCATTATTAGTACGACGGCGACGAACGCGAGAAAAAAGACTTTCCGCCCCACTGCGAAGCCTGCCTGCGCTATCAACGCCTCGTTTCATGCCTGTTAGTGAGAAGCAGGGTGGACAAGGGAAAACAAAGGAAGGCAAAGAAGAAGGACGATTGGCAGAGTGACCGCTTTTACACGCCACCTCTGAACAGAGAAAAGAGAGAAAGAAAACTCTCTGGCTTGTGCGGTGATAGCGAGGCACCATTTTTTGGGTCAAGCTGTAACGTCAAGCTTCGGGCAGCTCTTCCACTCGAGTCCTTTACTCTTTCCCGTATCACAAGTCTTCACACTCAAGTAACAGCGCCGCTGCCGGGTGCTGTTGATTTGAGTGCTGGTCTCGGCGGGACATCCCTTCAACATGACAGCCTCTTCGCCTCTGGCGGCCCTGCACCGCCCAATGCCGACTCCTACATGGAGAGGCAGAGACATTTTCCGCTCTCATTACGCCAGCAACTCTGCTCCGGGAGCGATGAGTCTGCGTGAGCAACTTCACAAAGGCACGGGAGATTTCCTCGGCGTTAAAGAAGTCCGAGGGTCATCTCCTGCTGTGAGCTTGGCTGCCGATCTGTCCCAGAACTTCCGGCTTGACAATGAAGCAAGGTCCGTGCCGCCTAGTGAGATAATATCATTCCCATGCTAACGGGTAGTTATTAGTCCCAAGTTCCCAACTCCTCGACGAGCTCTTTTCACGGCTAATGTAGTTGGCGACACCGGCGACAATGGTAAGAGTCTCGCGAGCCTTGCGGGACACGCTTTGGTTTTGACTAACACGCTTCAGACTTTGTGACCACTCCTACTTTGCTGTCTTCTTCGCCTGTTCAGCTTCCAGAGATGACCCCTCTACCTCGTAAGGTGACCTTTGCCGCCGTGGTTGAGGTTGCCTCGCCTACACCCATCCCATCCACTGCCAATGATGCCGCCATGCCGGACTCATCGGCCCCCAATTCACCTCAGTCGTCTCCGGTGCCAACGAGGTCACTCTCGCGACAATCGTCACTGGAGCCAGCAAAGCCAATTGCTTCGGAGTTAGCGCCGATGCAAGCTCGACGCGGTCGAGGACTCGCTGACATTCTGGCTGGCCGTAGAATAGCAGCCCCAAGGCGGACGACTCCTATTCGACTCAAGGCGCTTGCCAACAGCACTGGCTCCCCTGCCTCCTCAAGCCCATCAGTTCAGATATCAGCTAATAACTCAACATTATCTCTCGATGAGTGCTTCGACTTGGAATCCCCGCAGCAGGACCGCAGCAAGCCTTTATCATCGCATAGCCCCTGCTCACCTATCCCCATTGGCCTTCGCTCAAAATCTCAATTTGGGAGTATCGGGGGGAGTAATCGCCTTGGCTCGCCGGGTAACGTTCATGCTAGGAGACAGTCGAATCCCTTTTTGAGAACCCGAAAGCAATTTCGCAGGTCTTTGAGCATGTTTGAAAGCCCTACGGATATCATGAAGCCGAAGCCTGAGAGAGGACTTGCTGCTTCTCCTATCCTAAAATCTGTGACTGATGTCGAAGAGGCCCACGAGCCCATCATTCCTCATTTTCTTCCTGATGATCCTACAGATACGATACCTCGAATCACACGAGAGACGATGCTGGAAATTTTGGACGGAAAATATAGCGACAAATTTGCTCAGCGGATGGTCATTGATTGCCGCTTTGAGTACGAGTATGACGGCGGCCACATCGACGGTGCTGTCAACCACAACAATAAAGAGCTGCTAGCCGACCAACTCTTTCAGACGCCTATGGATGATATGACTCTACTAATCTTTCACTGTGAATATTCGGCCCATCGGGCCCCTCTCATGGCGCGTCATATTCGATCTCAAGATCGTACCATCAACGCAGAGCACTACCCTCGCCTGACCTATCCAGAAATATACATTCTGGAGGGCGGCTACAGCGGCTTCTTTGCTGAACACCGAGCAAGGTGTTTCCCGCCGGAATACGTCGAGATGTCTGATGAAAAGCATCAGCGAACTTGCGAGAGAGAAATGGGACGCTTAAAAGCTCGCAAGCCCTTTGGGCGCGCACAAACTTTTGCATTTGGCCAACGGGAAACATATCTACACGATTCACCCACTGGCCCTTCTCGCCCTCACTCGCGGGGGAACGTTAATGTCTCTTCCCCTCTCTCAATCCCCGATTCACCTGTATTTGGTGAGCGAACAGGGACTCGGCGCATGGTTTCTTACTAGTATTAACCTACTTGGCGTACATTCACGTAAAAGCTCTGGCTTGCGATCCACGTCGCTTAGCTCACTTTTCCTTATGTTGGTTGATGAACCCATCGGAAAATTTTAACGTTTGACGACGAACGAAAAGTTACGTTTGGCTTATGGCAATGCATTGAGTTTTAATGCCAAGGTTACGAGCGGTCCATCAAAGGATTCTCATCATGAGCTCCCCTGGTCTTCAGTCGGTATTGCTTATTTCTTCACGTTGTTGGGCTGCTCAGAGACTGCAATCTCTTGCCTCATTGTCTGTCTTTTAAAGATAATGTTTTGTCAGATAATCGGCATGCTGGCAAACAGAATCTAGGAGGCCTTACAAAGGCTACTAGAACACTTGAGTTATCGGATGGATCTTGCTTCAATACCAGGCCTACAAGGTGTGTCATCCTTGGACGTGACCATCTCTCTATCGATGGAGAACTCGCATCGAGCACTGGACACCCTATTACCGAACACTTGCTCGTACCTTTTTCCTGGCTTATTCTTTTATTCTTTTTTTTTGTCAGAAATGAACATCCTAGCATGCACCCTTTAACTTTTATACCCATGGGGAATGCCTTTCAAATTTTTCGTCTTCCCATGTTCATACTTTCACTACAGGAGGCGATGACCATCCCTCTGCTCATTGTAATGAGCCATAGAGCGCGACTAAGCGGGCGGCGCTTGTGTTTTATCTTGTAAAAACTAGTTATACAGTGAGAGATGTTGTCTAGGAAGGTTCTTTTGGCTGTACATTACGCTATGAGAGAACATAGATGCCTCAGCTAGCTTATAAACGCATTTCAACTATCGTATGTTACTGTTTTGAATGAGCTATACGAATCGACTCTGATTTTGTCTGCCCTAATGTGCATGAAACCATGGCGACCAAGACTTGAGTTATACAAGCGTAGATGTATCAGGGTCACATTATAGGCTAGCCTATGGAATGATTCAAGAGTTTCTTATGTTTTACATGTCTTTCTGATGAAGAGTAATTGAAGTTGTTCATGTTGACGTTGCGCGCTGCATCTATCGGAGGGCAGGTGAGTCTGAAAGGTCATAAATCAACATGAGAGCGGCTGAATCTCAGTTATCAGATAGTCTGCAGCCGTTGTTCAACGTTACGTCTCATTATCCTGATACTTTCCCTAATGAAAGCATTACTCATTTACAGGCACTCAGATTTGTTATGGAAGACGATGCGATAGAAGATGATGTAACTTTTAAATCAATTTAATAATTTGCTAGTTCTTATAACTTTTCATTAAACCCTTTTCTCCCAAGCAAATGATGGGTAGTAAATTAGCAAAGCGAGAAATACCCCATGACCTTGATATTCTGAAAACGCCGAAAGTATGCAGAAGCAACAAGCAACTCAAATCTTCTCCTTCTATGTTGTAATTACAGAGTGAAATCCCATTCTTTAAACGCCTCTCGGAAAGCTTCAACGTCCTTGGTCTCCTCTTCCACGGTCTGCTCGCAGTTCTGCCAGCTGAGTCTGTCTTCCAAGCCCATGAGCTTCGCGAGGACTCTACGTCCAAATTGTAGATCAAAGCGCGCGTCAGAGGCGAGCGGCATAACGAGGGATTTGCCCTTAATCTTATCCTCTCCGTTATCTGCCCAGAACCAGACGCGGAAGAAGTCGCCGGCAGTAGCCAAGTCTTCGACGGCGATATCCTTGTTCGTGAAGGCTGGGTATTTCAGGTTTTCTGCCTCGACACGGAAGGCTGCTTCGGCAAGACCCTTTTGGATAATGTCGGCGGGCACAGCAACGAGCTGCCATATCAGGTGGACGTTGCGATCCCGGCTAATCTCCCAAGCGACGACGCCGAGCTTGTGTGAGCTTTTGGAAGCAATCATGGCTTGTAAAGATTCTTTAAAGCGTGTCATTTCGTTATACGTCTTGACTGCCTCGCTTGCAGGATCTGCTGTGCTACCCATGCTCGGAATAGTGGGAGAATGGGGTAATGGGATGATGATGAAATGGCCAGGGAAATTCAGACCTTGCTCCTTGAATGTCGTAGAAGTTGGTAGAGGACCCTTTGCGGTTGTAATATAGGCTTCGTCTCCGATGCTACAGCACATGTGGGCTGAGATGTTGGGATTCGATAAGCAGAAATAGCACCGGTCAGGACCTGGCGGTGGCGAGACACGACGATTACGTTTATGTCTGCCGTGGTGACCATCATCGCGATGGCCGAACCGACTGTAACCTTCGTCTTGCCTTCCACGTTTGTTGGTAGCTTTGGAGATGAATGGTGATGCTGTAGCGCCGGGAGGCACTGTATTATCTGCTGTGTTGAGAGTAAACGCATACATGGCTTTCGCCTTCTTGTCATTGCCATATGTAGCCATTGAGATGAATCGTGTAGTAGAAACGATATTGGGATCCTTTTCGGACTGTTGAACAAAAGCCTCTCTTTCGTAGAAGAATGCTCCTGGAGAAGCCGACAAATGGTATCGGGGCTTCAAAGCAGCGCAGAGATCTGCAATATCCTCAGAACTGCTTACAGCAGCTTGATCAGCAGGTTCGAGCACTAATTTTGACCCGGTCCAAACCTTCGCAGGCCACATGCTTGTCAGCAAAATATCGGTGCTGTTGGCGCCGCGCAGGGCCTTTGTATCGCCCGACGTATGAAAGGGCAAATGCTGCTCTTGGGATTGGCCTGCCACAAGATTTGGGTCGAGGACCCCGCCGAGTGTTACGATTCTGATGCCATCCGAAGTCTTTGTTATGCTGCGCTTCCCCAAATAGTGAAGATTGGGGCATATCTCTTCGTCGGCCTCCACTTTGGCAGCGATTCGTGGTGGCAGTGGGTGAGTGCCGACGGTGAAATAGGTGGGAAGAGGGACCTCGATGGATCCGTTTAAGAGGGCGGAAATCGTTTCGTCGTCGATGTCGGGAGTGAATACGTCTCCTGTAAGGATTGAGAGAGAGAATTGATTTTTGGCATGGAGCGTTGCAAGCTTCTTGAAGGCCGATTCGAGCTGGCCATTAAGGCTACCCAGGACGATACTAAGAAAAGGGTTTAGTACGAGACGAAGCTGTGATTTATACAAGAGGAGACAACATACATCTTGGGCGCAGCCATTATATCCAACCTAGTCGAAGCCTTGATGCAAGTTCGGTATGTGTGCGTGGTGTGGGTTGAGACAGAGAGTTGATGGAGTTAGAAGAAGCTGTACTTGTAAGATGCCTGATGTAGAGAGCTCCATGCAGGTGAGTTGCGCGGAACGTGCACCACGCGACGTCAAAAGCTCGGCGCAGCGATAAGCAAATGCGCCTCGAGCGCTATTGGCCAATTGTCTGCGAGGTGGGGTAAGGCTAGTTGTTATCAGTTTGGCCGATAATCTACCGACCAAAAAAATTTGGGACTTTTACAGTGGAGTGAAGCAGCTCCAGATTTTGGATGCTTCATTATTGCGGCCGAAAACCTTTTACATAGGTTCACCAGCACCGCCGTCAAGATGCCAGCCCGATCATCCGGTCGCATCGAGAAGGTGCGGAAGAACAAGCATTCGACGCCCCATCAGAAAAACCACCGATGGGAGTCTTTTTCGACCAAAATCGCAAAGTTCAATTCACTACAACCTCTGCGTAAAGTTCGACGACATGACCTCGAGACGGAAGACTTGTCCTCGACGACATCCTATCTCCAAAATGGACTACAAAAATGGGGAGAACTCAATATCTCTCAGCCGTTTTCTTCTTTCAAGAGGGAGGTGTACCCTCTGTGCGACAGCTTGCCTCAGATTCTGCATTTCGAGGAACGGATCTGGGGTTCGCTGGCCAAGTACATCGCAACGCAAGATAAAGAAGGACTGGAGCCGTTACTCGATCTTCTGACGGCTTTTGCACACGACTTGGGAACTCGATTTGAGAAATACTTCGCCCGCAGTTTGGATCTCATCTTGGCAATCGCGGGAAAGCCTCAGCCGGTTGAGGTCATCGAATGGACCTTTGGTGCTCTGGCATTTTTGTTCAAGTACTTGTCCAAACTTCTAGTCCCGGACCTCCGACCGACATATGCCGTCATGGCACCTCTTCTTGGAAAAGCCAAGCATCCTCCCTTCATCGCACGGTTCGCTGCCGAAGCAATGAGCTTCCTCGTCAGGAAGGCTGCTGCTCCTTCTCTTCGCGAAACGGCTCTCGTTTCTTTCGTAGACCATGTGCGGGACGATATATGCAGTTTGGTTGAGGATCGGCAGTTCATGCTGTACAAGGATGGCATCATGACAATGTTTGCAGAGGCCATTAAGGGGACAGATCGAAGTATTCACTCCGCTGGATCTGCCATCTTCGTCGTGCTGTTGGATGCTATTCCAAAGGAAGAGTGCGCATTGGCTGAAACGACCACATGGACAGACTTGGTCTGTGGCGTCTTGACCAGTGTGATACATCATACCGGCGCAGATACGTTTGGCGAGTTCGCAGAAGCAATTCTTGATAGGTGCGAAGCTAAAATAAAGGAATCTCATGATGATGATTCCCAATGGTGGACAGTGCCATACATCAGAATTCTCGGCGTTCTCGCTGGTGTCCGCAGAGGTGGTCGACTTAGTGATTGGCCACGCCTTGTCCGACAACTTGTCGCATTTCTCTCAGTATCGACACGGCCTGTCGAAGAAGTCGCCGAGAAGAGTGAGAATGACCTTCTTTGGACATCGGTGGTGGCTAATGTGGCGATCACCTGCCATCACGCTCCTATGGATGCACTTATTCCCCAAATTACACGCCTTCTCCAGTCCTTGACAAGAGAGCCTTTTATGAGATTATTTATACCCTTTTGTTCATATTTTAGCGAGCTTGATCCAAGTCGCTTTGGAAGCCTATTCCGTAATGATTTTCAGAAGTAAGTTGAGTTGACCTTTTTTTCGATAGCATGTGTTAACCGCCTTTTTTAGATTTATCGCAACACACTGGTCTCAAGGACACAACGAAGACATGCTTTGCGTCTTGTTGCCGCAGATCATTGAAAACAGAGGATTTCCTTCCGCCGGTGAGAAGGATTGTTGCAGGCTTCCTCAGGCATGGCAGGATCAGATTGTCTCTAAATTCGAGAGCCTGGAGATATCGCCTTTCCCTGAAAGAGGGCCGTACAACAAAGATCCCCAAGTCTGGAGAGATAGATGTCTGCCTAAATATGCGGCGCTTCTCCGAATTCTAGAACTGACCGCCGTTCATCCATCTACCAATGCTCGTATTGCTGAGCTCCTCCTACGCAAACTTAAGCTTGCTCTTCGACCGTCATCATCATTGGCGTCTGATGAGGTCAACTTCATCGTCAGCCAAGGATTTCATGCTTATTTGGGTATGAGCAAGGCCTCAGGTTCAATTGATCCTCAGCTCGCCCCTCTGCTCCGCGCAGCCGTGCCAAGATTTGCACGATCTGTAGGCTTTCTTCGGACCTATCTGGCATACGAGGAAACTTTCACACACGGCCACGAGTCTGATAAACAGCACGATGGATCTAGTAGCGACTCTTCAAACTCCGAAGATGATCCTGTAACCCAGTCTCTGGTCGAGAACTTGAGCTCCCCATCTCATGAGATTCGGTTAGTGTCTCTAGAGCTACTCAAGAAGATGACGACCGTGCCCGAGCAGCTTCATTTCGTTGACATCATGCTTCAAATTGAAGAAAGTCCACTAAATCTGGAGCATACTCGATCCATGGCTATGTATCTGCGCAAGCTCGGGCAAGAGTATGATTCGTTGGCAGATACGACTTGGCTAAAACAAGGAATCCCAAATTTCATGTTCGGCATGCTGACAATTAACCTCTCTCCTGTGTGGGATAACTCAATAGAAGCGATGAAGCAGGTTGCTCAAAGCAAGTTCGGCGAAGAGGCTATTTCTGTCACTGCCTTTCGATGGCTGGAAGTGCCGTCTCCGCGATGGACACCACCCCAATCGGAAACCAATTCTTCTCGCACCTTCTACTCGGATTTTGAGTGTACTACATTGAACTCTCTCCACAAATCGGCAACCTTTGTTTCAGAGACCGCTGACGACTCAGATGGTATTATGCTGCGCAATTTTGACGATTGCCAGCGACTTGTCGAACCATTTTTAACAAACGCCAAGGCTCAAGCGTTGAAAGTGTTCAAAGCATTGCCTTCTATTGCCGAGAGAAGGTCCCGCCAACTGGTACCCCATCTGCTTGCCTGGGCTCGTGACGAAGAGGATACAAACGACGCTGAGGAGAATTCTCAAGCTAAATTCTGGTCTCTATTTGACAGGAAAGGTCTCATCGGCGTGTTCGCGCAGTTCATCAACCCAAAGGTTCTGTATCAACATGAACAAGTCTACACCATTTTATTGCAGCTTCTGGGTAACGGTGATTTGGAAGTTCAGAAGCTTGCCCTAAAGGCCATTTTGGCATGGAAGCAAGAAAGCGTGAAAACGTATCAAGAAAACTTGGAGTATCTCCTTGATGAGGCTCGTTTCAAGAATGAAATTGCCGTCTTCCTTCAAGGAGATAGTATCATCAAACCGGAACACCGAGCTGAGCTGATGCCCGTTCTGCTACAGCTCCTTTATGGTCGAGCAATTTCGCGAAAAGGAGCGCTCGGTGGTCGCCATGGTCAGCAGACGACCCGACTTGCTATTCTCAGGAATTTGTCCGTTGCGGATCTTGGAGGCTTCCTCGATATCGCCGTAGGAAAACTCAAGGATGTGCGAGTAGTTGGCCCAGCTATTAACCGGAAGAAGCTTTTTGAAGATGAAATTATCTCTATTCGAAAGCAATTCGGTTTTCTGAACATGGCCCTGTCTCTTATTTCGGAGCTGGGTACTAATGTGACCCCTTATATGGAAACACTCGTCAACACAGTCCTCTACTGCGTTGTCTTCTCTTCAAGGCGACTGGCTGGCACAGCTGCGGAAGCTGATGCCGATGCCCCCGAAGAGGAAGAAGAGAAGGCTAGCACTCATTCATTGCTCAAGTCCACACGATCAACCGGTATCAAGTGCTTAATAGGCCTCTTCCAGAATGCTCAGGGCTTTCAGTGGGGGCCTTACCAGGACATCATCCTTGAAGAGCTGGTGGCACCTAGGCACGAAAATCTGCCGGCGGAGACTGCGCAAGGAGTATCGGGCATGTTGCAGCTATTATCAACTTGGTCTAACCTTCCGAACGTGGCTCTCTTCTTCGCTCCTCACGGTAGCGCGTTGCCAAATGGTATCTTGCCTCAAGTCATTGCTTGCGTAGCATTCGAAAAATCGAAGGAACCCGTCAAAATACATGTACTTGAAATGCTTCGAAACTTGGCTAGACTTGCCCTGGCTTCTGCCGACGAGTCTGAGTTTAATGAAGTTATCAAAACCGAGCTTCTCGAAACGAACTCAACCGCAATCTTGAACAGTCTTACCACTGTATTGAGGACTGGTGACATCAGCAATGCCCTTCTAGAAGCAGGCGTCGAAACCATTCTGTCATTGGCGCCAATCTTCCAAAAATTCGAAGACATCCAAGCAGTTATTCGAATTTCTAGCTTCTTGTTGCAACAACCTGCCCGACGAGTAAACCCCAGGCTCAAGGGCCGGATCCTTCTTGTCATTGAAAACTTTGCTTCACTACCAGATGCGGCAAAGGATGAGGTACTGCTTCAGGAGGTATACAAGACCGTTTCAGCCCTTTTCAGCTACTTCAGAGACCGAGAAAACCGTTCGTCACTATGTCGAGTTCTTTTGGCCATTTCGAAACAAGATGAAGAGATTGCCAATGTTGCCAGCATTTGTTACGAGCTGAACCTGTTCAAGGAGGGTCGCATTGATGAGCCAGATTATGACAGACGTCTTGCCGCATTCAGTGCCATCTCGAGCAGCCATGATGAGCCATGGACCCCTAAGCAATGGCTTCCGGTTCTTCATAACCTGATTTTCTTTATCCGAGTTGATGAGGAATTCGGCGTGCTCTCATCCAATGCTGCTGATGGCATTCGACGCTTAGTTCAAGAGACGGCAGATTGCCAATCGCAAGAAACGAAGAGCACGCTTGATGACCACCTCAAGCAGGTATTATTGCCGTCAATCTATGGCGGTGCTCGCGAAGAGTCTGAAACCGTGCGACGAGAGTATCTCCGCGTATTAGGATTCATTCTCACCACAATGCCTGAATGGGGCCCTGTGGCCGATCTGAGTGGCCTCTTAAACGAGCGCCAAGAGGATTCTTCCGAACCTACGTTCTTCTTTGACATTCTCAGTCCGGCAACTTCAAAACAAATCGATGCCCTGCGAACGCTGGAAGCTGCCAACGCAAGCAAAGAGATGAGCAGCCAGAATCTTACTCAGTTCTTTATCCCCTTGCTGGAACATTTCATATTCGGAAGAGCGGATAGCGGCGACGATCATGGACTTGGTGCACAAGCGGCAAGCACAATTAGCAATCTAGCGATGTCACTCAACTGGAATCACTTCCGTACAACTTTCCACCGATACATAGGTTACATCGAATCAAAGCCGGAACAACAGAAGCATACTATTCGCTTATTGGGCAAATATACCGATGCGCTGCTGTTTTCGCTTCCTGAGAGTCCCGATGCCGAAACCATGGAGGTGGACCAGGAGGAAAGCTCATCTTCTGCTGTTCGACGATTGCGTCTTATGGCCCCTAAGACTTCAGAACTATCTACCCAGATTACTGATTATTTCCTACCACCGCTCACCAAACACTTGCACGAAAAGAATGAATCCGAGGTTAGCTACCGTGTCCCCGTCGCCATCACGGTTGTCAAGCTGTTGAGGCTGTTGCCTACCCCCCAACTGAACCAGAAGTTGGCTGGTGTTTTGACCGACATATGCCACATCTTGCGCAGTAAGGCATTGGAGGCGAGAGACATGGCTCGTGACACTCTTGTCAAGATTTCTGTGCTTCTGGGCCCATCTTTCTTTGGATTTATTCTGAAAGAGCTTCGAGGTGCTCTGACCAGAGGCTACCAGCTGCACGTTCTTTCATATACTATGCACTCTATCCTAGTTGCAACTGTGCCTAATTTCGCAACTGGAGATCTTGATCCCTGCTTGTCAGACGTTGTCACTGTTATCATGGACGACATATTCGGCGTCGTCGGTCAAGAGAAGGATGCCGAAGGATATGTTAGCCAGATGAAAGAGATCAAAAGCAGCAAGAGCCAAGACTCGATGGAGCTCATTGCCAAAAACGCATCAATCAGTCGCCTCATTGCCCTCATGAAGCCGCTACAAGCTCTCCTGATGCAAAAGGTAGATCTGAAGATTGTGCGTAAGATCGACGCCCTGATGGCCCGCATCACGGCAGGACTGTTGCAGAATCCGGCTGCTGAGAGCCGCGATACTTTGGTCTTTTGTTACGAAGTTATCCAAGAAGTATACAATGCGCGGAAACCAGATGCAGAGCAAAAGCTGGACTGGAAAACTCGCAGGTATCTGGTCCAAAGAGGCGCCAAAAAGAGCGGCGATCGCGGTCAAACCAGCAAACATACATACAAGCTGACCCGTTTCGCTTTTGAGATGCTGAGATCGATGTTGAAGAAACATGATAGCCTGCGGACTCCTGATAATATTGCTGGCTTCATTCCCATCATAGGCGACGCTATTTTGGAAGGTGAAGATGAGGTCAAAATCTCAGCCTTTCGACTATTGGCGGTCATTGTTAAAGTTCCCTTCACGACCGCTGATGGAGCAAACATCTATAAGATTGCTGTCAAGGAGGCTACGAAATGCATATCAATGTCAACTTCCACCACGACTGAGTTGGCACAGGCGGCCTTGAAGATGCTTGCGGTCGTACTCAGAGACCGACGAGATATTGAGGTCAAGGATGCTGCCATTGATATGCTACTGGGCAAGCTGAAGGATGACTTTACTGAGCCTCTCTATCGTCATATCACATTCAACTTCCTGCGATCTGTACTGGACCGTCGCATTGAGACTGCGATGGTTTACGATACATTGGATCAGGTCGGTACCGTCATGATTACCAACGATGATAAGGATACTCGAGACTTGGCGCGAGGTGCCTTCTTCCAATTCATTCGAGACTACCCTCAGAAGAGAGCCCGCTGGATGAAGCAGCTCAATTTCGTCGTCGCCAACCTCAAATATGATCGTGAGGGCGGCCGAATTTCTGTTATGGAAGTTATCCATCTGATGCTCATGAAATCGTCTGATGATTTCGTCCAGGAGGTTGCGGCAACATGCTTCCTGCCGCTCTTCCTGGTTCTGGCAAACGATGATAGCGAGAAATGCCGTCTCGCAGCTGAAGCCCTCATCAAGGAGATCTTCCGCAAGGCAGACAAGGAGCGCGTACTTGCGTTCCTTAACCTTCTCCGGTCATGGCTTGGCAAGGACGGAAATCCTGCGGTTGTGAAACTTGCTGTGCAATTGTTTGGGCATTATTTTGAGTGCAATGAGGATGCCGCAAAGAACCAAACAGACTTTAAGCTCATTTTTGACAAAGTCTCGGGCATTTTGGGCTCTGAGAATGTTCGTGAGACTGACGGAGGACTTGTGGGCGCTGCGGTTGGCGTTGTGCGCGTCTTCGCCACCACTTTCCCTGATAAGGCTTTGTCCGCCAACAAGGAGGATCTATGGGCTAAGCTGCCACGCTGCCTTGGACACAAGGATACTTTGGTGAAGCTGTCTGCTATTCAGCTGATCAGCTTATATCTCGCCGATTTTGCTAGAAATGGCGCCAATACCACAGCTGGCGAAGATGTTGAAGGGTCTCACGGGCTTGTTCTGCGCGCCACGAATGTAGAAGAGCTCGTCCGTCTTGCACTCAGGGCCTTGAATGGATCCGAGGTCAACGAAGCCTTGGCAGGTGAGCTTGGGCAGGTTCTGATCTTCCTCGGCCCACGCCTTCCGATTGGAGATTCTCCTGATTCATCAGGTGCTGAGTCAGAGGCCGCAGACCTTGAGGCGGAAGACAAGGAAGAAGCCACTGCCAAACCGAAAGATGTGCAGTACCTGTTCTGGCGACTGTCACACATTCTGCGAAAGGAGATTCGGCCCAACGCTGCTGCCATCGTTCCCAAGGTGGTCGCCATGGAAGTCCTAGAGACTGTTTGCCGCCGGTCTTCGCTTGACCGACTCCAGCCTTCGCTCAAGACCATTCTGACACCGCTGCATAATCTCACCGACCCATCCATCCCTGCGCCTTTCAGCATGGATGAAGTGTTCAAGACGAAGCACGAAGGCCTCAAGACTAGAGCACAGATCATGATGGATTCTCTGCAGAAGAAGTTTGGCACAGCCGAGTACAGCAAGCAGCTGATGTCTATCCGCGAGGAGGTCAGGGCGCGCCGTCTGCAGCGGTCTAGCAAGAGGAAGATAGAGGCGGTGGCACAGCCGGAGAAGTACAACCAGGATAAGAGGAAGAAGTTTGAGAAGAACAAGGAGCGCAAGAAGGCGAGGTCGAAGGAGCAGAAGGTGATGAGGCAGGCGTACAAGTCATGGTAAAAACAATTGCATGGCATGTACTCATTATATGGCGAGCGGCGTTTGAGAGGGTATTTTTGAAGGCGTTTTAAAAACCTATTCTTTGTGACCATCTTGTCAATATTATATATATAGATGCATATGTATGCGACTAGCTAGACAAAAATGCGTGGGAATCAATATATATCCCTAATACTTTTCATTTCATATCCTGTCGCTTTTCAAAGAGCTGGAGTATCTTCTAGATGCAATCCCTGACGCCCACTCTATATACCTAAAATTTTTACATACTCGTACAATGTCCCCCCTTCTTATTTAATGCCATTGAACAAAACCTGGCCAAAAGCACCGGCACAAATGATGCGCAATTCGAGAGAGAAGCCCCAAACGCCTCATTCTCTTTCATTCCGTCTTTGCCAAGCCCTGTCTCAATACGTTTTCATGACGAGCCTTCCTTGTCTTTGCCTGTAATATCCGCAAGTTCCTCCGGTATCCCCTCGTCCGGCCAAAACTCAATATCCCCGTCCTCTCCCAAAGAGCCCCTCTTCACCAGCTGGCCCTTTTCCCGCATCAAATCCTCAACAGTGATTTTGCGATCGCCAAAAATGTTCAAATGGTCGCTGATGACGTGCCTATTGCGACAGCTCGGACACGTAATCAGCGTAGAGCCGCGATGATAGCCCTGTTTCGAGACGTTGTGGTGCGAGCGATGGCCGCAGGGCACGCAGGTGAAGGAAAGCTGGTAAAAGGCCGGGCCTTTGAATTCGGGGCGGTCGCTTTCGCTGGGGGGGGCGTCTTTGGTGGCGGGTTCGTTTGGGGGTTTCTTTTGGGGGGGGGGGGGGATGGTGTGTGCGAGGCGGCGGTGCTGGTAGGGAGAAGTTGTGATGCCGATGGCGATGGGTGATGGATGATGAGATCGACGGAGGGCGGATTGAGGGAGGCTTTTTGGAGGAGCGAATGCGCGGCGCAGCATGGGCGCTATTAGGGGCGCTGGTTTTAAAGCCATTGTTGAGAGATGTGCGCTTGCTTGTCAAGTTGCAGCTTGTGAGAGAAAGAGAAAGAAGGCGTTGGAGTTTTTGGTGGTGGTGGATTTTGGCAGTATCAAAAAAGTTGCAGCACTGCACGTCATTTTGCCGGACAGGGACCTTAATAGGTGGTCCGTGCGCTTGGGGTTTAGCAGCCGGCGATGGAGCAGCGCAGATTGCCTAATTGGGTAATACCCTGGACTTTGTGCCTGATGCTCATGATGTTCTTCTTCTTCCTAGGCCAGATTCTGTGAAATGTTCATTCTGATTTGTTTGTTTCATCAGCTTTTTTCTCAATTGAAATATCCAACAAGGCTTCGCATAACAGAGGACAGAGAGCTACATGCGGGTCAGCCTGTAGTCAGTGACAGTCCGATATATGAATAAGGTATGGGATAACTTCCGCTGGCTAGTCATTCGTAATGAGATGACACGACGTCTATTGTTTTGGCCTCTGAGTTCCTTAGATTTCTTTTATATTGGTCTAAAACGAAGAGTAGGTACATTTTTTTTTTTTTAAAAAAGATTATCGTATCATTGCTCGAATGGACGATTTGGTAGGCTTTCAAGCAAAGAACGCGTATTGTGCTTTTGCAAAAGAAGGGGGCTAAGACACAATAAAGTAGGCGCTATATGCGTACTTGTTCTATCTTATCTACTAGGAGCATTGCGCCTTTGTATGCAGGGGAGCAGATACATATCGCTTCGATAAGCTGGACGGGTTGCTGGACGGGTTGCTAGCTCGAGCTTCTTGGATGCTCTCTTAGTGACTCAATTATCGCGCCATTTGGCACAGAGCTGGGATAACCACAAGAGCATGAGGAATCCAAGTGGGTAAGAGAGTATCTCAAGCGCCCGTTTGGATACACAAATCGACAATCTTCTGGCTTCAAGCTTCTCACTGCGCCGGAATGCCCGCTGCAAACCAGGTTCGTCAGTAATCCTCGATTAAGCTATTCTTCTAGTCGCTCTTCTGTTTAGTACGGGTGGAGTACTGCGTTTCAATGGCATAAATAAATGCCTCTACTGTTTCAATTCTCTATTTATAAGATGGGGTGACCCATCTAGATAAACGAAAACAGCTACAGCCAGTGGTGGCGTATACAGACCTTGGTGACATGTACTTTTGGCATAAGCAGCTAGACACGCTATAGTGTTATAAACATAAGTCCATATACTGATCCCTTGGCAGCTATTCGGCGAAATAAACTACAGAAGTTTAGGTTATCTAAAAGATTATATGATCCATACACTGTTGCTTTCTTGATAGCCGTCGCCCAAGACAAGTGAAAGTATTCGCTCAAGCTAAATCCTACTACCCCATTACAAAATTTGCAAGTACAAATCTTTCGGATTTTCCCCCCTTTGCAGCCGCAATACTACAAACACTATGCTTATGTGATGCATCTTTGATAACTTCAATTTTGTGCTCCTTTGAAACATAAGAATGCATAAATCTATGTACTACTTTACCTTTATACTGCCGACATTTCCTCATTCTTGCTAGATATGTTTGACATTTTGTCTCTTTCACCACAAAACAGGTTTCTATATCTATTAAGATGCAGAGAGTATCTTTTGATCCTCCACAAACCCTTAGTGCTCGTGTCTTGACGTTCCTCTTTGCAACACCTCTTGTCAAAGGTACAACATAAGATTTGCCAAGCGACATAACGGACTCATCTCCGTCATCGAATCTTGCGCATATTAGCTGATCGGCTAATAATAATTATAGGAGTAAGTAGAACGCTTCAAGTACGTATAATTATACCTCCGAACGCATGATGTTGCGTGATAAGATGCCTTCCTTTACGGCTCATAGGTAGATAAGGAAATAAAGGCAAAGCTGTTCGAAATTTTCACTTATAAGGCTTCTATCTCACAAGTCTATAATGAAGACTTCTTCTTCTAGTGGCTTATTCATCATGTCTTGAAGTTAATAAAGTTGAAAAAAGCGCCGAGCGCCGATGATATGATAATCTCGCCAAAGGCCTTTAGAAGGCATTCGTCTGCCAATCTTCCAGATGGCGCTGCCCTACGTCTGGCTAACAGCTTTAGTGATCGCAGCATAGGAAGTACTAGTAGTAGAACCCAGAACCTACATTTGAGTCCAACAACTCTTTGCTCCATTAACTTTTAAGTGTAATATTAGAGTTGTATGGATGCTTACAAGCAGGTACACTTGCAGAGTTTCTGTTACTGGAATTTAGGGGCTTTGGGGGACAATAAGCGCCTAGGCCAGCTGTGGCGTCTGCACTGCAGGGCTTATTTAGCGGGCTGAGATTTACGATTTCTGTGGCTGAAGCTAGCCCCACAGCGAAATAGCTGGGGGTAAACAAACGCGCTCCACGTCACGACACCACCGATACCATCGCTGGACACACCCAGAATACAAACAAACAACCATTTCCGCCGCCTGGTCTGGTCGCACAGCCGCTATTCGACTCGTTGCTTGAAACGCGCTCACGTCGGACTAATTTCCGCCATCCAACCGAAACTCACAGACCCCCTTGCAACGATATTCAACAAACGACGACCCTCGCATATTGCGACCAAGTGGACCTCGATACTTTCCAGTTGCTGAGTAAAAGCGCTTGAGCCTTCCTGAGATGCTGCGGCGGTGTCTCTGATCCTTGGTCAAGTCAGGAGCTCTACGCCTCTCGCACCTGCGGCGAGTCATTCTCAGACTTCGGAATCGAACAACAGCAGACTCGCCCCTGATTTTCACTGCCTGCGCTTGAGGCGATCCTCAAGATGGCCAACATAAATTTCGACCAGTATTTCTCCTACGAAGCCCGCCTGGCCTCCTTTCAGAAGACGACCAAGAAGCGCGGATCGACTACCGGCGGACGAGGAGCAGCGAAGGCCCTCAACTGGCCTCACAAACAAATCTCGGCAACCAGTGTATGCGCCCTTCTCCCGCTCAACACAGCTCGATGGACCGGAAACTGACGTTAATCATAGCTTGCCAGAGCCGGATTTGTGTTCAGCCCCAGCCCCGACAGCCCCGACAATACGATATGCTTCTTGTGCGAAAAAGGGTTGGATGGATGGGAGGCTGGCGACGACCCAGTCTACGAGCACGTCAAACATGCGCCCCATTGCGGCTGGGCACTGGTTGCTGCCATTGAGGCTGATATTGGAGATTACGCAAGAGAAGACCCCAATGATCCCGAAATGGTCGAAGCGCGCAAGGCGACTTTTGCCGGCAGATGGCCCCATGAGAATAAGAAAGGCTGGAAATGCAAGACTAAGCAGGTGTGTTACTTTTCGAGAGACGGAGGGTATTGATTGACATGCCTTACTGACCTTTAAAAGCTAGTAGAAGCCGGGTGGAAGTATACGCCAACTGGAGAGTCAGATGACATGGCGACGTGTGCATACTGTCAACTGGCACTCGATGGATGGGAACAGGGCGACAAGCCTTTGTAAGATTTGCGCATCTACCACTCGAGTCGCGCCGCATGATAGCTAATCCCGTCCTAGAGATGAGCACTACAATCGGTCTCCTGACTGTCCTTTTTTCTCACTAGTCAGCCAGTATAAGGCTCTGGGGAAAGCTTCTAATCGTGGAAAGTCTTCGCGCAACTCATCAGTATCTGGCCAGTCTCATGGGTCAACATCCGCCGATATCACGAATCCTTCCGATATGAGTGTCGGATTCGACGACACCCTTGCTACAGTTTCATCTTCGGCCACACAGCCCGGGGCGAAGAAGCCTAGGGCAAAGAGGGGGCCGGCGGCGAAAGCTGGTAGGAAGAAGACTAAAAAGGAGGAGCCATCAGAGTTGCTTGATGAAAGCAGCCCAATGGAAGAAGATACGCAGCCACCGAAACTCAGGCGAGGCCAGAAAAGGTCGAGTGAGGCTGTAGAGGAATCGACAATGAGTTTTACGGGTGAGCCCACACTGAAGAAGAGAGGGTCGCAGCTTTCCGTCAACGACACCATTGATAGCATTGCAGCCCATGAGAACGACTCCGAAATGACCGATGTCTCCAGCGCCTCCTACAACAAAAGCGGAGCATCGTCGTCCAGATCAAAACCCGGTCGCAAACGCGCGTCAAAGCTGAGCTCACAAGCTTCTCTAGCATCGTTGCGAGCCCCTGGTGGCTTGCTAAATGACGATGAGATTGAACGCCGACTAGAGGCTGATCTAGAATACCACTTTACCAGCGAGGAGGAGATTGCATATGATTCTGATTTGACACGGAACATGGCCAAAGCAAGCAGAACAGTAACTGACTCGGAAGCCGAAACTACTCAATTCTCAAAGAAAAGATCGGCTGAGTATGCAATGTTCGATACAGCCATCCCTGAGCCCAGCGAGGCAGAGATTGAAGATGAGCTTCAAGCTCTACAAGCGGAGATGGAAGTCAAAGAGCCAGCGCCCAAGAGAGGTCGTAAAGCTGGCGTACAAAAGACGATGAACCAGCTCAAGCCTAAGAAGTTTGAGCCTGAATCTGAATTTTCGGAATCTCAGAAAGAAGACGAAAGAGTGGTATCGGCTGATATCAGTGTAAGTAGCACTAGGAGTCTTGCGAAGATACCAAATTTGCCACCTCCCGCTGGGAAACGTGGGCGTGGGCGGCCGAGGATGTCCTTGACATCTCAAGATGAGTCTATCGGTGAGACTGACGGGTCGGCACAACAGCCGGTTAAGCGTGGGCGAGGCCGGCCATCGAGAGAATCATTGGCGTCTCTATTATCGGCCGAGTCTGGGGATACCCATACAGCTAACCCTGCCGTGAAACGAGGCCTCGGCAGACCTGCAAGTTCGTCTCTGGACTCGACAGGGGCAGATGAAGACAGCGAAGCTACCTCTGCTCTGGCCCCAAAACGCAGAGGGCGCCCATCTAAAGCTTCCTCTTCATCGCAGAATCTTCATAATTATACAGCTGTTGGAAGAAGCAAAGATGCCTATGCACCTGCGAAACGTGGTCGTGGAAGACCGGCTAAGAAACTGGTCGAAATTACCCCCGCAGAACAGACTGAGACAGAGGCTGACGACGAGCTTATCGGAGCTCCTGAACCATCAGAAGCGTTCCCTCGGCCACCTAAACAATCACCTTTGCGAGCTATTTTCTCGCCAAAGGAAGATGCTTTATCTCTGGCTCCATTACCAGGCACCCCGTCCAAGCTCCTGTCCCCTGTGCCTTCGGCTAGGCAACCAGTATTGTCACCATCACAATCTCCCCAATCATCAGATGCAGAGAACCAGCCTCCTCTGTCTCGTGCCCCCGCTCCTGGTGCCGCAAAGCGTACTATACTGGCCCCTATGGCAACAACTCCAGTTCATGGATCGCCTTCGAAGCGTAACGTTATGACCGGGCTTCGAAGTACGACACAATGGGCTTCCGCAAGCCTGGAAGCCATCTTTGGCTCACAACATGGCACCCCAGGGAAGGAAAACGACGTGGACAGATTTTTGAAGCGAGGCAACGAGCTGACCAGTCCAGAGCGACAAATGAGCGTGGAGGAATGGATTTATTTTAACGCGGCGGAAGCGGAAAAGAAGCTCAAGTACGAATGCGAATCTTTGGTCAACCGATTTGAAATGGAGGGCACAAGAGCTATCAAAGTCTTGGAGGGCTTGGAGGTTGTTGAAGCTGAAGGCTGAAGATGCGTGAAATCAGTTTCGTATAATGCGTTGTATATGACGGCGTGCATTGAACCATGAAGAAAAAATGATGGAGTTTTGTTCTTTTCTTTGATTTGGCAGATGGATACATGGTGGTAACACATGATCATATGGCAATCGCATTTTGGGTCTCCCTTTTTACATGCATTTGCATTTGGGACTAGAATTGGGCGTTTGGACGAGGGTAGTTATTGGAGTTTGAATCAGTGTTAGCAGAGAGCTGCAATATAGAGCTGCAATAAGGAATTGCAAAAGCATGAATGATGGCTGAAGCTTGTTCAAGCCGGTTGCTTCTTTTGGCACGAGTAATATAAGCAGTGTCGCATTTACTTGCGATGAAGGGCACATGACACACCTAATTTACTTGTCTTTTCGTTTCTTGGAGAAATGCGTCTCTGGTTGCCGTTATAAGTACGAAGTAGTTTTTTTTTTTTTTTTTTTTTTTTAGAATCATACTCTACTATTCACTGCTAGAGGCGACACGTCTACTGCATCTTCAATCCCTGGAGGCTGTCAGGTTTAATCGAAGGAGCCAAGGGTAGCCAAAATGCTCTCATAACTCTGCATGTATCATGGCATCGTGATACTGCTCTCATGGTGATGCGAGTTTACAGCATTCCCAACTTCCCCAGGGGCTGTAGGTTTCGATCGAGGGAGTGAGAGGCAGCCAAAATGCTCTCGCAGCTCATTTATAAGCCGTCACTTGATAGTTTGGGATTACCCTTTACTGCAATCTTAACCTTTATAGAGGCTGCCCACTTCCAGGATGCCACCGCTTCACAGCATTTTTAACTCACTGGGAGGCTGTCAGATTTCAATTCGAGGCGGCGAGGGGTAGCCAATTGGCATTCATGCATAAGGTAGGTTGTATGGAAGCGTTATTCACAGCAATCTTAATCTTCCCCAAGGCCATCATCGCTACGATCCTGCATGTTTTTAGCACCCCGCAAGGGCTTCAGCCTGCCCTATAAACGGTG